GGGGGAGCAGGGGGTAATTGTGGAGGTTTAGCCTCCAGAAGAACAGACAGGCTGGAGAGGTAGCAGTGTACTGATAGCACTGTGGCGCAGGGCGTTCTTTATCGAAAGTGGGGAAGGGGCTAGGCTGCATGGAATAGAAATATTTTGGGGTTTAGCGTGTGGGTTACGACCATTGTTTTGGCGGCCTGCAGCTCATTGGCTCGCTGGTTTACATCCATGAAGGGGTTTGGTCCCTGTGGCTTTCAGCAAGTAATCATGTTGGCTAATTTGCTCTGCAGCATGCTTGCGCACGGGGAGAAGTATGAAAATTATGCTGGTATTGAGCAATGCTGGGCTTTTTCAGTCGTCCCTTTGTGACGCAGTCAAGTTGCCCTCCGATTGTTGGGAGTTGGCGGGAGGTCCGGGAGCGTCATAGCCTTCTCTAGACGTCATTGCTAGAGAGGTTCTTTCTAGCTTCTTGATTCAAATGATCCAATCGTTAACCTTTTATCAGTTATCACTTTATGTTTCAATTGTATCAAGTAATATTACCGTTACTTTGTATGAAAATTCTTTGTTTCTTTCAAATTTAAGTACAACCACAGGTATGTCTGTCACCGGTCAAAGCTGACGAAAAAAAAAAATCCACTCAAACGAGCAGCAATGTAAACATTGAGCCGCCATATTTGAATTCCCTTTTTGGACTGTAACGAGATAGTTAGGCTATAGTAAAGTCGGTTCATGTATGTCGTGTGTAAAAAATTAAATTATAATAAGCTTCTAATAAAATTACAGAGTTTTAATGAACGTTTTTAAAAGTAAATGACCAGACTTAATATCTAAATTGATCTTTTATTCCAATATTTTACCCATCGGATTCGGACAGGCCCTCGGAAGTTGCAGAACGAAGTAGGACTCACTCGCGCGTATATCACTATATGTGGTGTAATTCGCTGAACTACTATTTATACTTTAACTTTATACTAGGGTTCGCCGGTTATTTAACCACATAATAATTATGAAACTGTATAACTTGCTGCCCGCTGGAAACTTGTGGTTGCAGTTTATTTATAAAATATGCCGTGGCTTTTGTTAACCGAAGTAGCGTGGATTAAGTGCTGCCCGCCGCCTGCCAGTGCTGTGCCAGCCGCCAGCCGCCAGGCTGCCCCAGCCAGATGGCAGCTGTTGCTACTTGCTGTGGTTGACTACTTTACTCAACTAGGGCCAAGTGTCATACGGGGCCATTGAAGTTAGTCATTCAGAAATAAATGCATGATGTCAAAGCATAAAGCAAAGACTTTTTAGACTCCACCTCACATTCGTTTTTGAGGCTTTTAAGTAGACTAGTAAAGTAGCTATCATGGATACCTAATAGCAAATTAGCAATTATAGCATTATCATTTTAAAATGTTGGCTTGAATATTGGATTGAAGAGGAAATTAAAAATTAACTTATTATAAAAAAGTCTTTGGTTTGGCAATATGTTAAAAATTGCCCATGCCCGGCCACCCGGTCACCCCAGTCTGTAGAGTATGGCACAACATAGGTCGAGGACGCCGTTTTTCTGCCCAAAAGACTCCAAGGCACCATCTAAACGGATGGTGGACGCCGATGTTTGCAGCAAACGGACGGCGAGGACGCCAAAATTGATTGCCAATGGTCTGGAAGGTGTTGCGACTTGCGTGGGCGCCGGAAGTTTACCATGCACACCACCAGTACGCCAGGGAAGAAAGTTGCCACTATGTTTGCTAGAAATACGAAAGTGCATCTCTGACCGATGCCTGATGATAGCGCGTACTTGAAGAATATTTCAATTTTCTTACATATTCAAAGTTCGTACGTTCTCATAAATAAAGCCACTTGTGCACTCGTGTGCCAGCATCGCTTACATTCCCATTTTTAATTGAAATTCTACCGCAATCAGCACAAGTGATCCTTAAAGCAACTAGGTTCCTTTGAAAATAATGTAAGTAATGTCCATAAAAATCTATATTCAGGATCCACTGTTCTGAATTTGTGAAGGAAAGATAATGAAGAAAAGAAGAAGGAAGGAAAAGGAAGAAAAGAAAAAGGAAGGAAAGGTATGAGAACAAGAAGGAAAATTAAGAAAGAAAAAAATATAACTTAGTACTCACTGCAGTGAGTGACAGAGAGCCCATTTACTCGTCGACGGAAACGCGAAGTCAGACGGACGGACAGACGGACGGACCCAGTGAGCACAATAGCGCCTTTTTTCCATAAATGAGAAAATGAGCTGAAAAGATAGAAAGAAAATTAATACAAGAAGGAAAGAAAAGAAGAAAGGAAGAAAAGAAGATGGAAAATGAAGGTAGAAAAGAAGAAGGAAAATGAAGGAAGAAAAGAGGAAGGAAAATGAAGGAAGAAAATAAGTTAATCCCCCCCCCCCGCGACACGGGGACCGAGGAGCGTCTGAAGGCGCAGCAGCGATCGCGCTGGGAAGCGTTTTCCTTCTTATGTTGATTGTATATTATTTATTGTCAGGAATATTGACGATACAAATATTTATTTCAAGGCTGTTGCTTCTTGAACTTACAGTGTTTGTATATTATAATCATTAAAATGCTCCCTTATAATATGGAAGATGTGAATATTCCTTTCAAATAATTTCGCCGGCTATATTGGCGCTATGCTAACAGCGTACGATAGACTTGGGTAGACAGCGAAACGATAGGAGGATTGATTTGTCATAGTCTCTCCCTGAATTAATCGAGGAAAATTATCGAGATGAGTTGTTGTTAGCTTTGTTTGAGATGTGTAGATGACCTCCTGCGGGCCAACTGTCACATCTGGATATGGCAGTGTTGATGGCTTTCTTGGGTCTCTTCCTCAGCAGCAGACAAGTTTCATAGGCTTGCAGGTGGAACAGCAACTACTTCCAAATGGCCTGGATGATGCTCGCTGTTTCCCTGCTTTCAAGGTTGCCCCCAACAAATGGTCTTTTCACAGCGTTTCCAAACGACCAGTGCTTGTGAGAAATTCTGCAACTGCTTTAATTATGAGAGACAGCATTCGGCGCACTGACCACGCAACGCTTGCCGCACACATATAAGCGCGTCAAGCTTGAGAGGTTTTGAAACACCCAAGTATTTCAAAACGGGGGGCCTTTTTCTCTCAGTGTTGGAATCGATCAGTTGGCATCGGCCACATCGATCGTAAAATGCGTGAATCCATGTCAATCATACCGCATCGTTCATAAAGTGTGAGCGTCGGCCATATCGCTCATAAAATGCGTGCATCCGTGTCGAATCATTGATCGTAAAGTTTGGGCATCTATGTCAATCATTGAGCAACAGCTGCGTCGATCGCGCAAGTGCGTGCATCATTGTCGGGCATTGGCCGAATCAGTCGTAAAGCACGTGCCTCAGTATCGATCATCATTCATCAGACAACGGTCAGATATGCACTTTGGTTTTTCTAGCAAACATTCTGGCAACTTTTTTTCCTGGCATGCTGGAGTACATCCCAAAATGGGCCTCCGGTGCTCACGCCGCACCTTTCAGATCGTGGCGACCGCGACGGGACGCCGATGTAAGGTCGAGATGGCTGATGAAGATCCTCAAAAGACGCCAATGTAAGGTCGAGGTGGCTGATAAAAATTTTCAAAAGACGCCAATATCTCGAGCTAAAAGGCCATACTCTACAGACTGGCGGTCACCCGGCCTGGGCCATGGCCATTGTCTGATTGTCCATTGATTGACACAGATTGAGCCACTGTGCAGAGAGTGGATGAATATTGCAAGATCTTTGGCGACGCTTCAGTAGCAAAATTTACGCCTTCAGAAGATCTTGCCGACACATTTAGATTGAAATTCTTGCATTTAATATATTTGTCAGTCTTTGGCCAACTATTTAGAAAAAAGTAAGGTTTCTGGTAGACTCCTGCGTCTTGAAATAATTTTCTGGAAATGAACCGGGACAGACGAAATGAGACGAGAAAATTCCAGGAAAAAAATAACGGGACAGAGGGTAAAATTTTTCCTGGAATAAACGTATGAACTGAGACAAGACTTCTGTCCCGGACTTTAAAACTTGTGTCCCGGTTAATTATGAACCGGGACGAGACAGACAGATTTGAAACAAGACATAACGAGATGAGATTTGTCTTAATTATTTAAGACAAAACAAGTTTTTTGATTACGATACGAATCATTTCGAAAGGATGGGTTGAAGAATGACAAGTTAGCCCGTTATTGCTAATAGGGTCATAGACAGTTACAAGTTAAATTGAGTTAATTGCAGATTTAGCAAAATTTAGGGTAAATGCGGTATATTAGGACATCGTGGGTAATTCCGTCACCTCTCTAGTTTTTCCTTTATATTAAGCTTTGTTTTAGTTCTATGCGTTCGTTGATGGTTGAAATGGTGACGTCATACATTTGCGTGTCAAACTACTGCCAAAACTCTAGGTCGTGGCCATCTAGCCAGAAAATATTGAGATCCAAAGAGAGACAATGCACGCTAGTCATCATCATCATCATCACAGTCATCATCATCATCATCGTCATCATCGTCGTCATCATCATCGTCATTCTCATCGTCATTCGTCATTGTCATCGTCGTCGTCGTCATCGTCGTTGTCGTCATCGTCGTCATCGTCCTCATCATCGTCATCGTCGTCGTCGTCATCATTATCATCGTTGTCATCATCATCGTCGTCATCGTCATCATCATCATCATCGTCATTACAGTAAGTTAGATTGCAAGAGTTATTGGTGCAGAAATCATAATTAATAAACACACAAAGCAAACAACATTGGAAGTAGATTAGACACAATAATGCGAGTGAAGTTATACAGGTAAAACAAGGACCGCATCACCATCATGTCTATGAACACTTGAAACAAAGTTAACTAGACTATGGTAAGGTTGTGCTCAAGTAAGGCGGATAAATAATGCAATGGTTAAAAGAGATGTGGAAAATGCAGCATTAAAAAAGAGCTTCACTCACCCAACAGTATTGCAGAGTTATCTTGATACCTTGGGCTGTATTGGCAGCATTTTAATTATTAGCTTGAATTTTACTTGGTTGGAATTTAATTATTACATCTGTTCTGAAACAATATGAAACAAAAGGATGCATTGAGTATGAAAATTGGTTAATGACACAGATGGGTTGAGTGGAGAAAAAGCAATAATGCCTTCCGACAACAACGGTAGTGGACTGAGTAGTACTAGATGGAGAAAAACTTATGGATTTTTTTATAAGATGCAGTAACCACAGTTTTTACCATTAGGATGAATCTATAGCCTAAAGGAAATGAGAGCTTCAGTTCCTTGTTTACTTGGCCATGAATAAAATTTTTTCATTCATGACAATTCCCTTTCCTTGCAGAGAAAAATGTTGAGTGTCTCACAGGTGCCTCCTCCAGGTAAACAAGACACCAATGTGCCTTGTCAGTCCAAATGCTTGCCTCTCACTCTACCAGCTATCCTTGGACGAGGCCCACTGCTAAAGGTGTGCATTCATCATTACAATTTATTATAAGCCTGCATTCAAAATTTTCCATCTTCACTTTTCTGAATTAACTTTCAAATTAATTTAATTAATTACCTTGCAAATTAATAAATAAGAAATTCTTGATTCTTGGTCAATACTATTCTTAATTTTGTTTTCGGAAATCAATCTGTAACATAGTTCCATGTCCAATCAATCTGTACCATGCCCAATCAATCTGTACCATGCGAATCATTTCTTCCAATATTCATGATATCAGAAATGATTCATGCGAATCATTTCTTCCAAAGCATGGCCTTTTCCCAGCACTGCCAGGGATAAATGATAACAATAGACAATAGGTAATGATCCTCCCACATTCATATGGATTTGATTGTAATATTGTAAATTTGTGAGTTATACTGATAGATCACTATTGCCATTGCAAATCATTCAAAAGTTCTTGCTAATGACTAGTTGCATTATGATTTGTAATAAGTTTTTTTTGGCATGTCTGCAGACATAGAATTTATAGGAACCTCACATGCTACAAAATTCCTTGTATTTGGCAGTGTGCTGATGTGAAGGTATCTCGCCGCCATGCTGCTCTTGACTGGGCTGATGATGATGATGGTGTTGTAATAACAGCTGTAAGTCATTTATTACCTGTTTTTATTACACAAATATTTGCTATTATATTCTGCCTGGAGTTTGTTTTTTGAATTGAATTTCCGACTCAAAAATTAGTTAGACATGCATATCTATTTCAGATTTTGGATGCAGGCTTTTTTATAGTTTATGTGGCTCATGAAAAAATCTTTTTATTCTGTTGTGTGTAAAATCTTCCTTCTTAATACTCATATGTAGGTATACTTCTTAAACTGTGTACGCAGAAGAAGAAAGAACATTTTGTTGGTTTTTATATTGTATGTATCAAGATAATTTAGCTAGTTGCAACCAATACTGATGATTGCTCAGTTGGGGTTGAAGTCTTTTTAAGTTGATTTCTTGACTTTCTGCAGTTATTCAGCCAACCCACGTTTGTGGAGGTTTCAGGCCAGCGCTCTCAGATCAAGACTGGGGAAAAAGCAACCCTCAGAAATGGTGATAAGTTTGGTTTGCTGGCTCATGCGGCTTGGTATCAGTGAGTATATTTATTTATATTCTCTGTTGTGAGCTATTGCATAATTTGGTACTACTGTTACATTTTCAGTATCTTTAATTATTTTTATTTCCACACTTTTCTTTGTACTAAATGAATAGAATTTTATTAGTTTGGTCTTTCTATCGGAATTAAGATCTTAATGCCAAAATTTATGGCCTGTTTGAGGTTATTGTATTTTTGATTTTGAAATACCATTTCATAGAGTTGGCATGATGTTTTTGAGAACAACTCCTTGTTAGAGTATTAAGTTTGTGTGGCCAAATAAATGGCTGTTTACCTTCTGTGTTAATTTATTTTCTAGATATCTATGAAACCTTCATGAAATAAATTTTGTTTTGAATGGGTATGCTTAATTTTATATCTTGTGTATTATTCAAACTTAGATTTTCAAGTTTTCAAAACCTGTTTTTTTTATTCAAACAGGATAAACCTGCCTCCAACTGAAGCACCAGAAACCAGTAAAGACCTCATAAATTCTACAACAAAAGATGAAATTCCAATCATAAACGCCAAGGCTGAATCTGCTGAGACGAGCATTTGTGAACTAAGGGCTGAAACACATCCTGCTGCTCAATCTGATTTCCTACCTGAGAATGACCAAATAGCCTCAACAGACTCGACAGCAATTGGATCCAAGGTGCTCATTAACTCAGAAGATATTGACCTGCCTTGATTTAAATCTGCAGATAGAAAAAATGGGTTTTGCTCTTTTATTTATGTATAAACTGGGAGTACCAACCAATGCCCAACCTCAATTTTCTTTTTGACCCTCTATTAAGGACGGATTCCTATTAATATAAATATAATGTAATGATAAAATACATATAATGATGAATAAATATAATGTATTAGCGTTTAACATTGGGCAATGTCTGACTTGCTGTCGTTGCTAGACACTTCAAAATGTTCACTGCTAGCTGGGTCTTGAAGTTGCAAGTCACTGCTTTGGTGGCGATAGTCTTCACCACCCGGCCTCATCGTAGTATAATCTTTATCTCTATATAACATTTATCAAATATTATCTTCAAATTATAATCTGCAATCATTGCATAAAAATATCTTACTATTAACACTGATATTTCATTATAAATTTGAGCTGTTTTTATTGCATTATGTGATAGAATTTATTCTAACGGATTTAGTGACCTTTGTCATTTAACTTTCTATATCATTTAAGATGAATCCATTTATTTCTACCTAAAATTAAGTCATTATCCACTGTATGTTCCATTACCTTATTTATATTCTTTTAGGTATTCACTCCCAATGAAGCCTCACATTGCAGCCCCTGTCAAGAAGTAAATGGAACAAGTCTCAAAGACGGTGATTTTCCTGCTAGCTCTGAAAACATTATAGTGGCCGTCTCAAAGACGTCATCGGTCATTTCTCCTTCCCAAATTAATGCGTCAAATGCTGCCGATGCCCCAGAAATGTTATCAGATGAATCTACTACACCCCAACCAGCAAACACAACCAATGATGCCACCAACGCTGTTACTTCAAGAGTCAGAACTCTACCAGCCTGGATGATGCAGGAACCGGCAACTAAAGAAGAAGTTTCTCCCGGTAAAAAACCAGGGTCCAGACCTGGACAAAGGAAGAACACCAGCCGCAAACCTCGGCCTAGAGTTGTGCCTACGAAGAGAAAAGCCGAAATCTCTAGTTCTGATGATGAAAATAATGAAGATGTGAATGATAGCTCTCCCAGTAAAAGGCGAGTTGTGAGAGTTTCTCCCACAGTACGGATCAAAAATACTCTCAATGCCGACAGCAAGCGTGCACTTCATAAAATGAGTGAGTCAGATGATGATGTTCCTTCTCCTGCGCTTGCAAAGAGAAAAGGTGAAATCTCAAGTTCTGATAATGAAGATGTTTATGAAAGCTCGCCCAGCAAAGGAAAAGCGAAGAAAGTTCCTCCCGGCGTACGGATCAAAAATACTGACAGTGCCAGCAGGAAAAGTGCACTTCATGAAATGAGCGAGTCGGACGATGATGTTCCTTCTCCCCAAGCTGCTCATAGCACATCTTCGCCTGATGTCAATTGCAAGGCCAACAGTGCTGTCAAATTACCTGACGTTTCAAACGACGTAAAGCAGTTGAAGAAACCTGATATTGTTGGTCAATTCAGCAATGGACCAAAAGCGAGCTCTGCGCTACCAGAAACTGAGGAAAAAGAGTCTGGAGTTGGGACCATCAATCCTGCAAATGGAAGTGGCCCGCCGTCACCTGGAGTCAGCCACGCAAACCAGAGCACGGATGTTGCTGAAGGACGGGGGTCAACGATCCAGAATCGCAGCAAAAGGAAAAGTTGCCGTTACGGTGGCTCGTGTTACAGGTTTGATTTTTTACTTTGGATTGTTCATTTTGCTCTTTTGGATGTTTCAGATTACCTATTATTGGATGTCAAAATATTCTTTGAAATTATGTCAAAAAGTACGGCCCAATTTTCATAGTATAAATCTGGAAAGATTGAAGAAATATTTGTTGCATTAGTGATGCGCGTTTCCACACGCTAATATTCTGGTGACTGATATGACTAACATTTCTTCGTTAATTCCGGCTGAAATATAAAAATCTGCATGTAATAACAAGAATATCTCTGTAGTAGAATATTTCGATATATTTTTTTTGTTCAGGCGCAACCCTCAGCATAAGAAAGATGAAGCTCACCCTGGAGATCTCGACTATTTGAGTGCGCATTCTGACGATGATGGTAGTGACGGTGACAGGCCTGAGTGTGAGTTCGGGGTAGACTGCTACAGGAAGAACCCTGAGCACCGCCGTCAGTATAAACACACACGCGTGCCGCAACCTCAACGTCGCGCCAAAAGAAAACGCGCAGGTGAATTGCATTTCTTTTTAATCATCGTGTTCACTTAACTCGTAGACCAACTCTACTAATATTCTATGGATCAGTCCCGGTTTTCTAGATACATTATATTTTGCGTATATGTATTTTCCTTGTCGTAAACTGCCACAATTAACGTACCAAGTCACTAGAAAAGATGAAATGTTTACCTGTACAAAAGGGGTTTTCAATGGTGAAAGGCAACAGAACATTTATGAGCATTTCTATTATTTACAGTGCAGTGTGTTGCTTTCCTAGTTTTTGTCGAGTCATTAGATACGGATCTTTCAATAACTTCATCGAATAAACTATCATCTTTACTATAAATTATTTAAGACGCGCCTTTCTGTAGTATTAAGGACGCGAGATTTCCTCACTTCTTTCTTTTAATCAAGATGGAAATACAATCTTGTTTGTGTTGAATCTCATTTTGATGCTCATGATGACACCATGTGACTTGTTACAGCTCCACCTGGCTCGCAGCGCAGCGACTCTGACACGCCAGACGAATTTGACATGGAGTTTCTGAACGACGCGTCGTCTGACGACTACGCGCCCTCAGATTCTGATGAGAGTGACTCGGAACGTTTCTTCTCACAGCCTATAGATGAGGATGAGAAGAATGAACTCAAGCGCATGGGCAAAGAAGCTAAGAAGTTTGTCAGGCAGAGAAAATAACTATTCGTATCTGGAGGAAAATGTTTGCAATAACTGTTAATGAAGTTAATTGGAGTTCGGTGGAAGCTTTAACATAGATTTTCGATCAATGTTCTTTAGCACGTGCACAAGTCATTAACCAAGTTCTGTAGAAGCAGTAATACATGCATAGGAATAAAACTTAATAAGAGTTTTGGTAGTAGAAGCACGAAATTATGACATGCATGAAAGTATCTGTGCATGTTACTTGTTTCAACGCGCAGCTGCTCATTGCCTCGTATCAATTTTGTGCAGCTATTCTTGCCAGTCCTATTTGCAATTTCATTTTAACATCAACAGTGCCTAATCAACTGTCTGAACATCAAGCTACTTCCAGTTTTAAAATTTGCTTTGTAAATTTTCTGGTATATATTCAACTTACTTTTTCTCTCTATCACCAGAAATATCTTATCTTGACACTAACAAATGTCGTTGGCACAAGCAGCGTGAATGCACTTAATTGCGTGCCTTCACAACTTCGAGAGTTCACAGCGTGTATTTGGTAATTCTACAACTTTGATCTTATGTGCTAGCATTTTCTTCGTTCCTCCAAATGATATAAAGTGTCAAGATTTTGAATAAAGCGTCAGTAGCGACTTATTATTTCATTTGTTTGCCACTCGAGCAAACTGGTTGGTAGGACTAACTGATCTGTGATATCCTATTTCAGTTGAGTTTTTTTTGTGTAATAGAGTTAGGTATGTTTTAAGATGGTATTTTAAGTTAAAATTGTAGTAACTCCAAATGAGTCGTTAGAAAGTGTTTCGTAATCATAGTGGCGCCAGCATTAGGTAGGCAAAATCTGGTCTGTCACCAATTCTAGACAGCGCCGAGTTTTTGAAGCTTGCCTTGCTTTCGAACCTGCAGTTCATTTCCGCAATCCCACGCTCCTTTGTAGTGTAAAAAAAACCTCTTAACGATTATTTCATCAATTTCGGAGACACCATGAGTTCCCAAGCCTGTACTATTAAACGCTACTCTTAGAGTAGTCGTGCACCTTTCAGGTCGAAATAAAGTGCCTTCACGTTTATGATAATGATAAGATGTCGTATGAATTTATTTTATGTAGATAAAATTCACAATATGAATAATATATTTAAATATACTCTTTGCCACACAATAAAATAGGTATTGTATCAAAATCTTTGGCATTTTATAATTTTGCGAATATTATGTTAAAACTATATATTTACTCACTCACTCACTGTTGAATACACATACCAAAAAGAAAAATGCACGTTTGATTAATTTCCATCTTGAAAAAAAAAAACGCGAATAACATTATATAGGATACACACACTTTGCGTAAGTTATATGTATTAATTTTTTTTCTTATCATAATCATAAATCTTTACGAGACCGGCATGAGATGACATAAGACCTTCACGACAAAACACCTCCAATCTGTAACTCTTCACACGGGACGGCAAACCAAATTTCTTGATTATGATTTGCTAGATAAACCTCGTCATGTTGTAAATATGTTCATCACCTGGACGTTCCTTATAGCATCAGTCTTGACGCTGTCTCTCATCGGTTGTGCTTTCATCGTGATACCAATCATTAACTTTGTTCAGCACAAGGATGTCAGTTTTAGCTTCCATTAACGCTCTTTACGCTGTCTTTCTCATCGGTTGTGCTTCCATCATGTCTCTCATCATCATCTTTGTTCAGCACAAGAATGCCAAGTTTAGCTTCCATTAACGCTCTTTATGCTGTCTTTCTCATTTCCATCGCGTCCATCATTAACTTTGTTCAGCACAAGGATATCAAGTTTAGCTTCCATTAACGCTCTTTACACTATCTTTCTCATCGGTTGTGCTTCCATCATGTCCCGAAGGATCTTCCTCTTCATGACGTTCAGTGTTTCTGAAGAAGCCCCTCGCGCTGCTCACTGTGAGGTACAGCAGCTCGTGCTCCTGCTGTTGCTCACGCAGGCGAGTGAGCGTCAATGCTAGCGTTTCAGCTAACTTAGTGTCGCCCGAAGCGAGCGCCGAGTTCCGCTGACGTTCCACCTAATATATTACAGTTAAAAAGTTAATTGACAAGGGATTAAGTGGTTATTGATTAAATTGACCTATGGAAGAGTTAACTTGATTTGTTTTCTTACAGATAGAAAATTTAGCTCAACTCCAACGCTTCCCTCATATTCAGATAGGTTTTTTTTTAAATTCCAGCATCATAGGCTTTCACGTTATTAAACTCCTGACCTTCAATTTATCAATTTATATTTAAACATTAAAATAGCGACCTTCTCTCTCTGGGAAATAAAATGTCGTCGCACTCCCGACCACCAGTGCATGGCGTCAAAAGCAGTGCCCTGGTCGAGCACACTCAGCAGATACGCGATCCCTGCAACATTAACAGGTATAATCCACTATCACGCGTTGGACTAACCAAGGTTTAGAGGAAAAAAGATGGCATTTCTTGGTAATACAAAATATACCGCCTAAACATAGACAGGTAATAACTTGTCATTGAAAAACATTCAAATAATTAAATTGTCTATGAATCTTAGAAAATAAACACTTCAGGTACATGACTGAAGTATGAAGTTGCCATCATTCGCGGAAATATACCCATGGCAAAACCGTCCATGCAGAAAGCGGCGCCAGTCTTGCTTCTTTTGTTGAGGAGATCCTTGGCGGTGACGGAGTGATGGACGAAATTGACTGCTAGCGCCGCGATGATGAGATGAAAGTTTTTGAGATGACGGTACGACTCGGTGGACAACGCTTTCCTGAACACGTCTACGAGAATCTGCGGAAAAGTGGAAATTAATACCCGCGATTGATGTTTGATGGCTTGCTTATAAGCATTGCGATGTTTCCAGTTTCAAACACAGTTAGTAGCCGGTCAATTAATATTTTTAGTTCAGATAACTTGGTATTTTCAAGATATATTGTAGTTGAGATTTGACAGAACTCTAAAACGTGTGTACGGAGCAGTGAAAACCGAATGGCGCAACAACACCAAACACCATCTAACGATGACCGCAATGGCAAGTAATGAATGGCTATGTGCGGCGCTACGTAAATCACAAATGGGAGAAGTTATAAAATAGGCAAGGAAAAGCGTGGAGCAAAGCATCAATTGAGAATACTTTAATGGTGTGCCGTCTGCCATATCAAAACAATGATTTTTCACACATAGCCGACTGGGTTGGGATGATAAATCGGTGGCCCACAATTCGTTTCAACTACCGCTAAAAAACACTAGTTTCGAATTGAAAATTAGTCACCTAATGTCTATTTTTCCGAGCTAATGACAATGAAAGCGTACTGATATCCACTTTTTCTGCATAGAAATTGAAATAAGCTATAGGTTATACTCTCCTATACATTCTACCAGGGAATAGGAATAAAAAATGAATGGCACAATATGTAGTCAATGATCAATACCGTGATTATAAGTAAAGTAATAAATAGTAATCATGCGTACAGAAGTCTCGTCGGCGGCTATTAAAATTACATAGAATGTCACTTCACATTTCTCCGCTTTCAAATGTATTTAAAAAAGAATTATACTTCTACTTCCCTACATGTATCAGCTAAGCCACTAACTTTGAAAAAGTCCGTCTCTTTCTGGAAGGTTTGCTGCAGATTGAGAATGACAGTATCCAGATTACGAGCAGCAGCGAGCGTGTCGGTGGACACAGTGAGCTTGGCATCAGAGCCGTCCTGGTCGTGTTGGTAACAGAGAGGCTCAAAAGACTTCAGCTCGTTCAGTGCAGGCAAGAACTCCATTGTGTTACTCGCACAACGCAAGCTACCAGATCGCACCAGTCGAACAAAACCCATAGCATTGCCTGTTAATGAAGACCAATTATCAAGTTTTTATTAATGAATAAATTTTTCTGCAAAAAATCTCATTTGTGCAATTCTTGAGTTCATCACAATCAAGACCTGCTTGAATATGATACTGTTTGTCTCACCAATATGCGTGACCAGTTCTCGGAACTGATCCAGGTAGGAAAGGCCTTGAGCATTGACGCCAAGCTTCCTGATGCCCAAGTTGAACTGCTCGGCGCGTTCAAAGGGAAACCATTTCTCAGTGACTGTTTGGACCTGTAATTCAACCGGTTACATTTTATATGCACTTGGAAAGAATAAAGATATCAGCATTGCGGAACTGATAACTATTTCTCCAAACATAGTAATGTCAAAATATCTAATGATCAAGATATAGGTGTGCAAAACTTACTTGCATCCAATGTTTCCTGTCTTTGACGAGGCGTGACTTGATTTGTTCATCGTAAAGAAACTGGGAAAAAACTTTGAATCTTCCCACGAGGAACTGATAAGTGAAGTTCACCTGCAACATAACACAGAGTGACGTCTACATAATGAAATTGCAGTGCTAGCCACCCAACAAATGTAATGTTGTTAAATTAGAAATTCTATGCTAATAACGCAGTTTTAGATTAATAATTCATTTAATAAAAAAATATTAAAAAGACTCGACAGTATGATTATTCTATTGTTCATCACGAAAGAAGTTGCACGAACGGCTGTTGCTCACGGTAGAGTTGATGATGCCAGCGCCGTGAGTGCGGATTGAATTGGCAATGTGTGTGATGTTGAGCGTGTTGAGGTGCTTGCTGTCGCTCTCTGCCTCTACGAACACTTGCTGGCTCAAGCTGTAGTGGTAGCGGCGCACGAACACTGCCAGCTGGCGCACCACTTCAAGCACGTCAACGCCCTTTACAAACGAAATAAATCATAAAGATGCTTCTTCGAAAAAACTTGCAAGCTTCAGCTAATTTTTAAACAATTGTTATCATTTGTGAAAATTAGTTTTAATAAAATTGTATAAGGAGGAGCGGCAAAAATCGGTGTATGGAAGAGGAGCGCTATAAGGAGGAGCGGAAGCGAACAACTTTTGAAGCAATAAGATTGTTCAAGAAGTGAATAAATGGAGCGTTGTTTACCTGGTGGGTGGTGTGGGGAGGCAGGCGGGAGTCCTGCAACATCAGCCCCCACTTCTGCAGCGCTACGGTGCGCATTTCAGTGTTGGAGTGACAGTTGTGCGGTGCCACCACCGTCAGAGCGTAGAAGGTGCTCGATAGGTACTGCTCCACGCGTTCTGTTTTCAATATTCCAGTTAGATATCAAACATAATGATATTCTGATACTAAAGCACATTATTTTATTATTAGTTGAGACTAAATTAATAATGAAGCATTAGAATTAAAAAATAATATAACGAAGTTTGAAGATAAATTTTGCAATAAATGTAAAATATTGCGCAAGAAATCATCGAAGCATTGAAACTTGAACACGAGTGATCCAAGTAAATATCATTAAATTAATTAATTCATACAGTAGTTTAGTGGAGTTGTTTCTAGCATCACAGGTCTACAGTTTCGCTCACTGAATATCGTGCAAGGGATTTCAAGTCAGTTGCTTGATCTTCAATGACAGTGAAATAACTTTAAACATAAATAACCGTCCTATAAATAAGCAGTTCAAGTGGTGTTAGCAAGCATCACAAACGCCAGTGTTGGTAAAAAATTAGAGGAGCTTCAAGAATGTACCTTTGAGGTTGATGATCCGCCCCAGGCAGTTGAGGGGCGGGAGGCACAGGAAAGGCATGGGGTCAAATATGGGGGGCGGTGCGACCGTGCCCGTAGTGTTGCTCGAGGCTTGGGCAGAGGACGGCTGGAAGGGGTTGCGGGGCTGCACCTCCAGATGCCACAACGTCGACAACCTCAGCTCCGTCTCTATTGCAGTGCACAGCGGTGACACGACCTGCATCATGATCAACAGATCTTAGAATATTAGTATGGTCTATACAAAGAGCTAGGCAGGAAAAGGAAAACGAGTAGATATCCAGTCAGAGGAAAATCGAGGCCACATAACTAAATGAGGCGCTGATCAAAAACTTGATAGAAATTTTATTAATGAATAAAAAAAAATTAAACATTTCAAGACCGACTTTTTCTTCAATAGCAGTACAGAGCTGCTCAGTGAAGGCATCAAGAAGGAGCTGAGGCTGATGAAGATGACAGCAGCGCAGTAGGTGGCGCTTAGCATCAGATGCACACGACAACACTGCCTGCAACACCAACCGCACTTCATGACATAAAAATTCCTAAAAATTCAGAAGCGCAACTATAATTAGTGAAAGTTGACAAAATCCAATCATAACTCAACGACAATTAACTTATAGACAAATTGTCGACGGAAGTGGTATGACGTTATCTGCTGAGCACGTTATATGTTGACATTTTGCAGCATATCGTTCAACTGCTTATCGCAATGAAACAGTACAGCACTTAATGGACCTGCAGCGTGGCGGGGTGCAGAGGCGGATCAGAGGCAGCAGCACCGAACACCTCACAGAAGGTGGTGGCTATGATACTGTGTCTGTAGAGCAACACGCCCACGTCAGTAGCGGCGTCTATTCGCTCCTGCAGTTCACTCAGCAGCTCCAGACGTCGCAGCAGAACCACCAGCTGGGCCAGCTCGTCACCCTGATAGTTTGATGAAATCCTTTTAGAGATTTACCAGGGGCTGCTACCAGTACGGGGCCGTACTATTGAAACTCGTTTGAGTGCACGTAGCGACCGATTGATTGGAGGGTTCATCTTGAAAAGCTGCCAATGCTTGGCTGACTAAATTACAAACTATCACCAACTTTTTATAGAACGGACCCTAAAGTCTACAACCAGAAATTACACAAAGTGAAGCACATACAAATTGTTACTCAAAATGAATCTCAGTTGTCTTAATTCGCAGCTAATCAGGCGACCATTAGTTGGTCAAGTGACCAGCTACTGGCCGCTACTGGCTCTTGACATCATGAAGCAGCCAGTACCACACAACACGAGTCCACTTGCACGATAATTAGTGGCTGTTTGTACAGGCCAAATATACCTAGTTACTGCCAAAACCGGCCTCGCTCCAATATTATACAGCCATCAATCTTTTTCAGACATTTCAAACGTTAAATTCGATTCGATAAAAATTATATCAGCCTTTTTATAGAAACAGATGATCTGCGTTGATACTTGATCGATCTCGAAGTTTTAAAGTCCCAGAAAAATAATGAAACATTATAAATTAATAATTGAAGAAAAATGAATCAAGAGGAAAGAAAGGCTTCAGGAAACAAGAAAAGCTTTATTAGGAAAAAAAGAGTTTTAAGAAAAGAGAAAGACTTCAAGATGACATGCGTGCTTCAAGAAGAGAGAAAAATATCTAGAAGAGAGCAGAGTTCCAAGAAGAGTGGAAAGCTTTGTCGCCGGTCAGAGCTGCTACAAGCTAACTTAACATTATTAGAGTCTATTATTCGCTAATGTCAGGGGCGGACGCTCGCACCTCAAAGCCAAGACAAGAAATAAATCAATTCCAAGCAACTGTGCTCATTTAATTCCACCTTATATGCCCTCTGTATACTCTTCAGTCAAGCGCCGGTTCTATGGTTTACGTAACCTTGTTCTTTGGCCGTTTCAATGGCAAAGGATTAAAATAAGAATGATCACACCTAAAATAGTTTACTAAACTCACTTTCGTTAAATCGGGAATTAAATAAAATAACAATAACTTTAAAAAATAATAACTAATAAACAATAAATAAAATAAATAATAAATGGTTTAAATTACACGGAGTAAAATAGTTCCGGTTTATTATGCTCAGACTAAGAACTTTTAAAATACGAGACATTCAACAGTCTGTTTTGCACAGTATTAAAGCACGTACATCAGGAAGAGCAGCAATTCACATAGCGAGGTGACAACGGAAGACACCGGCTGTATTCAGCACGACTCTAACTAGGCAGCAAAACTAGAATGGCAAAATAATCACTGCCATCAGCTAGCGACTAGTTCGCCTTCACAGCACTTAGGTAACTGCCCAGGGTCACGATCAGCTACCAACTCCTAATCAAACTAAAGTGACAGCTGATCTTGGCTAGCTAAGTCACATCCAGCAGCCTACAGGTTTAACTGTCTTGTGATTGACACGACTACTTCACGCGTGCGGTCTCGTACATTTATACAAACGATAAGAATGATCCAGCAGATAATACATTATAAAAATTACACATTTGAATAGTTCAAATATCAAGTTATCTCGGAAACACAGCTTAATAAGAGATAAGAGCTCCAATAAGGGGATAAGAGCTTTGAAGAGAACTCCAAAAAGAGAGAAGAGTTTCAAGAAAAGAAAAGGGCTTTCAGTTAGTGAGAAGTCTCAATAAGAGAGGAAAGCTCCGAGAAAAGACGAGATATTTACCTTGAGGACGTCCTGATGGTTGGCCAGTGAGAGCGCAACCCTGGCAGAGGTGACGTTGGTGATGCTAGGGGCGCTGCTCCCCAAACAAGTTTCAACAATCTTCAGACATGCAAGAACGTCGATCTGGGTTTGCTTGTTACCGCTGCTGGCGCTCAACTTCCTCTGTTCCATTCAGAAACTTCTAGATCATCCTTAGACATGCACGCTTATACATGGAATAAGAATCGAGCATTCTAACTCAATAAAATATTACAGGTTTATGCACGAAGCCCCGTTGCAAGCAATAGTTTTACGGCGGAAAGCACAAAACTCGTCCAATGAAGGAAGCCTTACATTCTATCATGTTGGCGGATACAAAAGATTTCACACCAGCCTAACTTTATATCAAATATCATTTGAACGATTTCCTTATCTGGTGCAAGTTGGGCACTGCAGAGATTAATTGACAAATTTCTTCTGGGTGTCTATAAGTATCACAAGTTTTAATAAAAGTATTGATGAAACCAACCTTAGCTTGACTGACAGCGGCGAGTAGTTGGGCGACCAGGAACTGCGTGACATGTGGCAGAGTGTGTGCAAGGAGCTGGGTGGTGTGCGTGGCGTAGGCAGCGCGGACTGCGTGTATTGCGTGTAGCATGGAGCACACAGAGAGCACGCACGACCGAGCGAGAAGTCGTCCGTGTTGAAGGTGCAGGCTCAGCACACTCGTCACGGTGTAGCGAGCTGATACTGCTAGCACCAGACCCTGGCGCACCACACCATGAATTTGACACGTTAAAAAAATACTTACGGCCTTTACATGAAGCTACACAATATATATTCACACTTACTGAAAACTTATTTTCCAGCCACTGATTTTTCTAGCCCTTATTATAATTTTTACAAAAAATCCTACATGATTTTAATAACAATGAGGATAAACGAGAATATAAATTCAACTTTTAGCCCTGATACAAAGTCGGATATATCTAGGACTGGAATTCCATGATGGCATATTCAACAATTCAAATTTAAAACTAGCATGGCAACTGAAGAGCCCAAAGTCTTTTGGGTGACGCATGATGACAAATTGTGCACGGAAGCGAGAACATCAGGTTTTCAACTTTGTTTTATAAATTGGCCAGCACAGCCATTCTCTGCCACCGTTTGAAAAATTAGCTGTATTATGCACACGAGCGTTGAGGGAAAAATTATACCTGCATGAAGAGTTTACTGCGGTGGCTCAGGTCCTGCCTGGTGAACTGACTTGTTGGCTTCGTGGATGCAGCGGCCAACTCCGCGCACCAGCCGTCAACCTGCAACCAGAGCACCAATCACGATAAAATGTTCTATCAGATATCAAAAACAGAATATAGACAATTCCCGTATTGCTGAAGCTGAACATGAGCTGATTCCTACTATTGCTCTCTATGGTGAAGCAGGTAAAGCTGCTCTGTGTTTGTAGGTATATTTAAAAATTTTCATATGAGCATTACAACTTCTGCTCCCATTTTGGTATTTGTTATTGCCAATGACATTTGCTATTGCCAAGATCACTTAAGCACCGATTTCTGTTATTCGGAATTAAAATTTCCATAACAAGGTCACCTCTTCTTTCCCTACAGAACTCCAAGCCACAATGAAATTTTCAAGTTAAAAAGCCGCATTTTTCAGCATAGAAAACCTGCAATTTGGTGGAGGCTGCGAGTTTCCCAAGAGAGGCCGTGACGGACGTGAGATGTTGACTGCGATGCTGCACCAGCGCTGCACAAATCTTGGGCTCCCACAGCGACTTGAGACGCTCGCACTCCCGCGTCAGGAACTGCTCTCCGCGCCACACCGCGCTGCCGAACACCGTCACGCACGGCACCTGGTCACAGACACTCTTAGATGGAAATTGTAAACTCTTAGGCACAATTGTAACCTCTTGAGCACCAAGGTAACCTCTTTGGAACAATTGTAACCTCTTAGGCACAATTGTAACCTCTTAGGAACAATGGTAACAAGGAACTAATAGGCGTAATTCCCTGCAACTCCAGTATTATATTGTTACATATCAGTTTTTCGGAGAAGCTTCGTTGCAGGTTAATGTGGCACATAAATTTGTTAAAAAAGCACATTACAAAATTAAAGGTCTAATATGAAATTTCAGAATGATGCAAAGTCAATTGTAGTGTGAGCGCTTAAGATAACCTAGGTAATATTTTTAAATCCGAAATTCCATGCCATTAGCAATCAATTCCGGCATGCAAGACATGAACGGAAGTATCTCAGGAATGAGTGATGATAAGAATAGAGAGGCTGACTTTTTTGAGGAGCTGCTGGAGGGCTTTGGCGGCGCGCTTGCTGGGCACGGGGTCGAAATGATGCTGGTGAAGCTGCAGTAAACACGTCACCGCGACCACGTCCTGCTGCAGGTCGCACCACCACGGCTTACTGCACTGACTCTCCAGCTGCAATAATTAATTAACTTGCCAATCAATGTTAAAATGGAGTATTTTAACATCATTTTTCATTTATATTCATTTTAATTATTAGTTAATTTCTATTTTAACCCAAGACAAAAATTGTAAACAGCTGAAAATATTTTACTCAACTAATTAGGAAATTTTTTACCAGTTATGTATGCGATATGCAATTATTCTGTTCATGTACCTAATTATGCAAAACAATAGTATAGATTATCACAGACTTAAGCACCAATAAACTATTCTATTGCAGTAAAGTATACAAGAGAATTATGTATTGCAGATGCACCTGTGAACACCAGCCCAGGATGACAACGAGCATCTCATCTCTGAGGGGAACATTTCTTGCAGTGGCAGTGGCTGCACTGCTGCTCCGATTACACACTTGCTGAATAAAATCATAAATTGGTTGTTATCTGAATTTGAACTCTAAGCTACGTAGAACATCAAAGTTGAATTATAAAATATAATGCACAGTACAACTACATAGATAAAGGACATCAAATATAGGCATGAGACCAACTTCTTTGTATTTGTGGGAGCACGAATCTCGGGAGATGAAATGCAAAATAATATCAGATATTTTATTCTGAATTGAAATGATTTTTCATTGTTCTTAAAACTATAATGATAATATCTTAAATGAGACACTTGAGCAAATGTACAATTTGTAGCGTGCAAGTTTCAGGAAATTTAGTCAATATTTCTCTTGCTAACATAACTTACTTTAAACATGGCCGCGTGCATCACGTTTTCGTCAATATCTCTGACCATTCTGTGCAGCGGCTGCAGAGTTTTCTGATCAAGAACTTGGCTGGCATCATCAGGAAGAGTTTCATTTAGAAGAATAGTTGGGGCACTCGTCACTAGCCTCCTAAGAACCAGTTAAAATGAATCTATGACAAAATTATACACGCAAAGATGAGCAAAAAACCAGCCAAAAATCGAGCTTTGTGACGAGTTGTTCACCGCTTCTTTGGTAACTTAACTTTCAGTTCCAAATAAAATCGGCCGTTATAAATAAGATCTTGCAACCTTGAAACCTCATTTGTAAACTTTATAGTATAGTTTAATAGACAAATTCGTGTACAATCTCGCCGCATTTTCATATAATTGTTGTACCAGAGAAGAGCACTGTAAACCAGAAGATACTTTCAGAACATCTAATGAAATTAAAGCAATCAACAGTGGTGAAGAATCCTTGAGGGTGGTTTCAGCTCAACATGCACATTGACCTCATATCGAAAATGACAACATATTAAAATAATCTCGATATAACTAACTTGTATTGAATCCAATGCTGATTTAGATCTTTGTTGACAGACACGATGAGGTCTAATGACACGACCACAGCCAATAAACGTCCTAAATGCTCCCAAATAACCTGCAAAACAATTGGAATAAAGATTATTTCCAAAGAAAGGAGCTCAGATGAAGTATTGAATTGGTACTAAAAGCTTTGAAACTTCTGGGATCATAGAGTCAAGGTCCAAATATCTCAATAAATCATGAAAGGTTCATTAGAAAATTAATTAAGACCCACTTGATTCAATATCTGTTATATATACCAAAGCAGAGCCAGCTTCTGACCTAAGCACATTTAGTATCTATACTACAGAAATGAGAACCAAAGTCCAATTCAACAATGAAAAATGTTACCTGGAGATGCACATCCTTAGTAGAGATGATAGCCTGCTGTTGTTGAGGAGGGTGCAGGGCACTTAGCTGCAGTATTATATTGGTAACAACTTCTGACACGCGCGCAACAAAGCTTTGCACGCGGCCCAGAAGTGGCAACATGCGAGCAATGTACACGTAGGCCTCGCCACTCACATCAGGATTAGGAGTGTTCACTGCAACAAGGGTGAAACTGATTTGACACTTCAGTCAACGAAATATATATATATATATATATAATAAAATGTGTTTCCTTTTGATTCAAGTCTGGAAAGTTACTAAAAAAAGAGAAAAAATAGATGCATCTGCTTGTGGAGCTCAAATAATGAGCATATGAACATATTATTGAGCAACAAGAAGCATTTTGCCTACATGAGATTCACCAGAAAATACTTTGGTAAATTTTTTGCAGTTATGAAACAATGCCCCAGCATAGTAGCAGGTCAAGCTTCTCAATTCTGTTGTTCTGGGTCAGTGTTATTTAATAGAACTATTTCTCATGTGTCACTAGTTAAATAAATGGGTAGAATATCAAATGGGTTGAACATTAAAGAAGAAAGTGAGAACTTTTCTTTAGGTGATAATGCTGCTAGTTTCATTATTAATAGTGTACCGTACCTGTATTTGAACCATCATCAAACTCTGTCTCTAATCATTGCTTTCGCAAGTGTTCTGTTGATTACTTTATCAATTTTTAAGAGACATGATTTCTGTTTTTGTCTTTCTTTTCACACTAAGAGAGCCAAGTGTTTGTTTCTTCCCACACTTAGAGAATTTGTGTTTGTTTTGAACTCATTGACGGTCTTGTAGGCTTTTGAAAAGTTACAAAGGAGGTGTGCCTACACATTGGCATTTTTTAGGCATGACTAAATGACAACTGGGTTGGAAGTTGCACTGGTTTAGAGGACATGTGGACATGCACTAGCAAGTCTGACAACATAGGGTTTTGCAAGTCATGCCAAAATGGCATGTTAGATTTTCTGATGGCTATGGTTAAACTGACAGATATTAATTAATTTTTTTCTTCAATGAATGACTTCATAAAAATCTTTAACCAGTTACATTAGTGTTCTATTTGGGAATTGTATTTAAGTTGTAAAAATCTTGCCATATGTCATGCTTTGTTTGTAATGAACAAATAATCATGCCAACGATTTTTTGCAAAATTATTGCAAGCTTCTTGGTATGAGCAAAAGCGCCCTAAAATGTGACTTATATAATATCTTCTCTACTTATACATATATATTAACATGCAACATGACTTCATATCATATATGATAACTTCCCCATACCCATGGCTCAAGCATAAAATGATTTCAGCTACCGTACTTTTGTAAAAACACTGTGGACAGGTATCAGTGCCTGTCATTGGCAATAGCAAATACAAAAATGGGAGCAGCAGTTGTAATGCTCACAAGAAAAATAAACAAACACAAAGCAGCTTTACCTGCTTCACCATAGAGAGCAATAGGAGGAATGAGTTCATGTTCAGCTTCAGCAAGCAGGAGCTTCACCTCCTGGCAGAGGACCGAGAGAGCTGTGACAACCTTCCTTACTGACTCAATGTCACTCCTGATATTCTTGATACCATCCGGCTCATGAGGGGACAGCTGCAACATGAGCATTTGTTAAAATATTTTTAGAACTGTGTGATGAAAAAATACTTGATCAAGGCAGCTTCTAGTAAAATATGTCCATAGGCTAATTTTGATTTATGAGATTACAAATAATATCCAGGTAGTATGAAGAATAATAATGTTCACATAGTGGAAAAAACACAATAATTTCAATTTTGATTTCCAAATGAATTCAGAGCTTTGATTATAACCTTGATTACTATAGGCTGAACTTGTGAAGGCTCATGGACATTCAGGAGGGAATCACCCGTAGCCATCCATTTTTTTGACTGCAGAAGTTTACCCTGAAGAGTTGAGCAGGAGTTTTCTACAATACCACTAAAGCGTTGCAGCTCCTGCTCAGCAGCTGCTTCTGCAAATATAAAGCATGTAATTATCTTTTGAAAAAATCAAACTGAAATAGAAAGAGATCATGTATGGGGTTCACAACCTGCATCAGAAATACAGGGTGCGGCAGAGAGGACGGATGGTTTTATAAAACAGTACATTTTCACTGAAAAACAACTTTATTGATGCAATCAGGTTCACAAAGAAATAGCATTTCAGACAGTTAAGTGTGAAAAATAACATCTAGCATGTGGTGGCCAAAATCATTGATGCAGTGCTGAAGGCGCTCATGAAAGTTTGCGTAGACTCCCTCCAACACCGCACATATTGTTACTCTCTCCAACACTGCTCAACACCTCATTTTGTTTACGAGTGACGAAGCCCACTTTCACCTAAACGGAATGGTTAACCAGCAGAATTTTCATTATTGTTTGGCGCTAATGAGAATCCTCAACAGTTACACAAACGACCGCTGCACAGCCCAAAAGTAATGGTTTGGTATGCTGTATCGCAAATGTGCATCACTGGCCCTTACTTCTTTGAAGAAGGTAATGATCGTGCTGTTACTGTGAACTTGGAGCGCTAAACAGAAATGATGGCTAACTTCTTTGTCCCTGAATTACGACGGCGTTGTGTTCCAACCCGACGTGTGTGGTTCCAGCAGGATGGGACAACTGCTCACACAGCCAGAGCATCAATGGACGTCATCCACCCACTCTTTCCTGGTCGCCTTATTTCCAGGTTTGGCAATGTTTGTTGGCCTCCTCGGTCCCCAGATTTATACATATGCAATTCTTTCTTATGGGCACATCTCAAGGCTACAGTATATGAACATAAGCTCCAAACTCTGGACAAATTAAAGGACGCAATTCACGTGGAAGTCACGCATGTTGAGAAAGTGGTGTTGGAGGGAGTCTACGCGAACATTCAAGAACGCCTACAGCACTGTATCAACAATTTCAGCCACCACATGCCAGATATTATTACAGATAGACTGTGTTAAATGCTATTTCTTTGTGAATCTGATTGCATCAATAAAGTTGTTTTTCAGTAAAAATATACAGTTTTATGACGTTTTTAAAACCGTCTGTCCTCTCTGCTGCACCCTGTACTACTTGAAGAAATTATAAAGGTGACTAAAACAACCTAGGCAACAGAGAATAATGATTTTTTTTTCAATGGAGAAACAAACTTGCTTATGACCAAGTTGGCAAATCATCCATGCCAATCAAGGGCCAAGACAGATGACAGCATCCAACTTATCCTCTGATAATGACCAAAATAGTTTGGCTCTAAATCAATAACAACTCATGTTTAGAGATAGTAAAAAATTTGAATTTAAAATTAACAATCAAAATTTTTTAAATTTGCTAATGAATATGTTAGGACTCATGAAATGAAATTCATCACATTATCCAATATGTGAGTCCTAAAGTCCTAATATTTTAGGACTTGATAAATTAAATGAGATTCATCACAGTATCCAATATGCGAGTCTTAAAGTCCTAATATTTTAGGACTCAATAAATTAAATGAGATTCATCACATTAAGTACGGTATTCAACATTCATCACCCCTTCATTTGATAGATTCATGATGATCCAGATATATTTTGCAAGGAAGTAAACAATTAAGCTCTTGCACACAGCCACACACTTGCCTAATATCTAGCAGCATCCAACATTTCCTTACAAAATAATATTGGGAAAATAACATTTATAAAAACAGAAATAGTGAATTATAACTTACTGAAGCTAGGATCATCACTGGGTGGAGGCACTGTCATTTTATCAATAATATTGAATTCTTTGAACATAAGAATTATATTGGCAATTTTTGAACAACTTTTCAAAGCAAAACTTTTAATGAAAAATCCATTGAACAGATCTGCAGAGAAAATATATTAAAATTCTTTACAATAGGTACTTTATATGTTTCCATGGTCAATCAAAGATCTTACCAATGTCAATTCTTGTCTCTTGAATCAATGCCAATAAATGCAATTTCATTATGTGAATATTGTAGAATGTAGAGTGAGATTCAAAAAATTAGGCTCTGAACCTCTCAATCTCAGAGACTCAGAAAGTCAGAATGTTACTCAAGGGTGGAAAGTGGGAACCCCAATTGATGTAGATAACATACATTTATCATGTTACTTTAAGATTGTATAATGATATATTATGTCAATAGTTTTGGCAATTGATTTGTTGATTGCTTAAACTCAAAGAATTAAAAATTACCAAGTAAGGATATATATAGATAACAAATTAAAGTAAGAATTTTTAAGCAACATTTCAACAGGTCAGAAATAAAAACAATCAATGAATTATAAGCCAGAAATTTATGGTAGAAGTAAATGATAGCTAGCTCTTCTAACAATCATTTTATCAAGTGTTTGCAAGTCTATTTAGGTACATCTTACAGGAGCTGACTCAGGTGTTTTTTTTTTCACTACAAGTCTCAACTGAGTCAACTCAATGATACAGCTTATATGGCTAATGGATTAATTATACAGAATAAAATTGCATTACACTTTATAAGTTCAAACCACATTTGATTATAATTTTTTACTGCAGGAACTGATTGTATTAAGGTCATTCTTCAGTGTTGTAGGTTGTACCTATTTGGCCAAAATGTAAAAGAGACTTGGCCTGAGCCTGAGGCAGACTGGCAGAGGCTGGGTCTGCCTGGATGGAATTATCCTTGTTGCATGTCAATTTGCATATAGCCATTTATAGGTAGCAAATTGATTAGACATTAGACATTTAGACTTTAGAGTTGCTTGTGACATGACGTTTCTCTACTCTCTAGGACACTTGTCAAGTTGTCAAGTTGTCAGTCATCAGATCAGCAATTCAACATCATCAGCACACGGCAGACGGCACACCTATTATCAGAAGAATTATACCTAACAGGCTAACATAGTCCAGTAATGCAGTAAGTCCACATAAAATTACACCTCAAAGGCTCAAATGTTAAAACCTTCTAAGTTGACTATTCCAAAATCCAAAACCACCAAGCCTATCACCAGAAATGGCCTCCTAGGCTCCTCTACAGCTCTACGTCTTAGTCTTCCCAGCTTATTTTGTAGGCATCACGTTCTTGATCTGATTAGTGATTATAGGATTTATAGCTACCATTTTCATTGTTAGCTACTGGCCTACTGCTACTGGCCTACTGGGATCATGGGATGTTCCATTGGGGCCTTGGGCGGTTGGGCCAAGACGCCAAGTATCAAGCTGTTTGAATGCTTCTCTTCAACATGGAATCAAGTATACAAATCAAAACCTGAAAGTAGTGCAAATGGTCTGGCAATGCCAGTTGTTCAGTTAATGTTGTCGACAAGTTAGATGTTTGTCATGTAATCATGTTTCAGAAACGGGAAATGTGGATCGAGTCATCGAGACGTTTGCCGTTCGGCAGTGACCCATCAACAATTGGCAATGTGGGTAGGCTTGTGAATGCTTTGGTTGCTTATGAGAATTTTTCTGTTGCGTAACCATGTTAACTATTCAACTTTATTTGTAATTTGCGCAGTCGGTCATAGAGCAAAGTAGCCTACGTCCGTCTCCAACCGTGGCTGTAACCAGAATCCTCGCATCAGTCGCATGAACATTGAACATAGATAGGCAGAGTTGAACAATTAAAGCATCCGCTACCACGGACTAAAAAGGGAGGCAACGTTAGATAAGCCCAATAATGCCGAAGGGATAACAGTATCGCAAGTTAACTCTAGCAATACCCACTTCGCAGCTCCTGCTTTTACCTCGACGTTCGCCAATAAAAACTGTACAATAATTGACACATTACAACTAATCTGCTTTGTCGATTACTCAATTGACATTGACGGTGAAGCAGATGGTTGAGTTGATTGGAAGAAATAACTCACATGACTGATGATGCATATGATGCACAACAGTTATGAGAAGTAAAGTTTCATTTGCATATGGATTTCGTAGTGTGTTTTTTCAGCCACCTAATAAATCAACTTTTCAACCACTAAACCCGCATTGGAGCCAACGCCAAGGCTTGAGCCTTGAATAAAATAGAATTGTCGGCACTGAAGAAATAGCCCATGGCATGTTACCGATTCTAGTACTTTTCGGGACTTGATTACGCAAGGGATCCGGCCTTTTAAACCCGATCTTTCCATAACTGACGATTGATTGAACTTATTGCAAGGCCCGTGAGGTGCTAGGCATTTAAAGACTGAATATATGGTCCTGCATAGCTTCGTCTAGTCCAGTGGTTCCCAAACTTTTTCAGGCTGGCGCCCCCATTGGCTCCCTAGTGAATTTCTAGCGCCCCCCACAGACATACGCCTCTTTCTTGAAATTTAGTACGCTGCAATTTTAAAAGATAAAGGTTGAACACAAATGTGTATTTCACAAATAGAACCCCATTTAGTGAACCAATATGTTTTTCAGCTGTTTTTACTGTTTCAGCACTAGAAATCTAGGACGTCGCGGGCGAATTTACGGCCGGACTCGTGGCCGGTCTCACGACCAATCTCCAAATTCAATTATCAAGTAATATCTTCCAAACTAATGAACGCAGCTCCATGAAACTTGGAAGATGTATTCATCAGAACCTAATGGTGATGTTTAGCTAGTATTTTTTTTTAATTTTACGTTCATTCGTGAGTTACGCGTACATTGCGAAACAGTCCGAAATTCGCAGTGATCAAAGAATTTGTTCCAAACTACTGAACATATTTGAACGAAATTTTGAACATACATTCCTAACTACCAATTGGTGATTTTTTAGCTCATGCAGTTTTTTTTCGATTTTACCTTTGTTAGCGAGTTTTTTTTTTTTTCATTTCACAGTTATTCTTGATTTCACACTTCGTTATATTCGGCCGGGTAATTTGTCACTTCAATTCGCGGCGATCAAGAAATTTCTTCTAAACTACAAAACAGATTTCAACGAAACTTTGCATATAAATACCTAACCTCTCAACGATGAGGTTTAGCTCGCGACAATTTTTCTATTTTGCTTTCGTTCACGAGTTATACAGATATAGGAGGAACGACAGGATTTTCTGCCGGCCGGTTTAGCCAAGAACACCCTGGAAGAACACCTTAGAACACCTTAGCCTGGAATGTACGTATAGCCGTATAACTCGCAAACGAAGGCAAAACGAAAAAATTGTAAACATCACCGTTGCTGAGGTTAGGTATTTATATACTAAGTTTCATTCAAATCTGCTCAGAAGTTTAGAAAATATTTGTTGATTACTGCGAATTTAAGCACGTATTGCTGTTTAAATCACGAATGAAGGTGAAATAAAAAACAACTCGCGAGCGAAGGAACGCTAAAAAATGTTTCACGAGTTAAACATTACCGTTCGGTAATTAGGACTGTAAATTCAAAATTTCGTCCGAATCTGTCAGTAGTTTAGAGGAAATTACTTGATCACTGTGAATTTCGCCCGTATTGCCATATAACAATGGCAAAAACAAACGATGGCAAAATTTCAACAATTTTAACGAGCAATACATTATCGTTAGGTCCTAATGAATACGTGTACCAAATTTCATCGAGTTAAGTTCATTAGTTTGAGAAATATTCATTGATCATTGAATTAAGAAATTGGCCGTGAGACCGGCCGTTAATTTGTCCGAGACGTAAAAGGTTCCAGAGGTTAAAACCACAGATCTGGGTGAAAAAACCATCGCTGGGAGTCATGTGCTGCACGTGTTGTGTACAAATCGTCAAACAAACGTTCGCACTTCTGACATCTACTTCGGACTACCGCCCCCCTTATCGCCCCCCTACCGCCCTCTTCTTCCTTACCGCCCCCCAAAATGTTTCCACCGCTCCTAGGGGAGCGATATCGCCCACTTTGGGAACCATTGGTCTAGTCTGTTCTTGAAGGCGTTCATACTCGGAGTGTCAACGATGCTATCAGGGGAGGCTGTTACTCATGTCGGTGACTCGAAGCGAGAAGAAATGTTGTCGCATGGATGTGTTACAATGCAGTTTTTTAGTTTACAGCAGTGACCCTTGGTGTTGGTTCTTGTTTCAAATTCTAGTAATCCTTCTGGGACCTTGTATAAACCGTGGGTATACTTGTATACTTTAATGAGGTCACCACGCAGACGTCGATAACAGGCCCTGGAAGCTTCATAATCTTTAACCTTTCTTCAGAAGGCTTGCCTTTTAGTCCCGGAATTATCTTTGTTGCACGTCTTTGAACACTCTCTGCTAAATTTTTGTCCTTTTCCAGTTTCGGTGACCACACGGCGTTTCCAAACTCCAGGTTTGGGCGCACGACAGCGGTAAGCAACAGTTTCATCGCTTCAGCATTTATGTACTAGTAAGAGCGTCTGATCAGCCCCCAGTCGTTCATTGGCTTTATTACCTTGAGCTGAAGCCGAATACTACATTGAATCACAGTGAACCAATTAATGGTGGGAGCCAACTTCCATGTCCGTAAATATAACTAATAAAATAAATAATAGTTATATTATAATAATATATAATATAATATTATTATATAACATAATATATAATAATAATATATAATATAATGGTGCACCATTCCATGTCCTTGAATATAATTAAAATTATTAGAATTGAATGTAGGTCTAACGCGATGTAAATAAATATTGATATTATGATTATGAACATTGTTGTAACTGCTTAACATCGCCCCTAACAAGCCCATTTGGTGACAAATATTGGGCGCAACGTTCAGAACTTCAGGGAAATCCTTTAATTGTTACGGTATCATTTATTTGTATTTTGTTAGAACGTTTTGAATACCTGATTTGAGAATTAAGTACTTGATTCATGATTTATTTTTTTGAACATTTAATCTTCGACCAACAACAATTTCCTTAACGGCGTACGCAAGTATGTATGTTAATTTTCCCTAATTGAAGCAACTGAATTATCTTCAATTTACATAATTACGCTACAAGGCCTTCAGTCGAGTGCCGTCGAGCTCCTGCAGCCGGCAGCTAATAGCTCCATCAATTCCAGCCACTTTTAAATGTGAAAAACAAACCATTTATTCAAATTCACGTTAAGAAATCTATTTTGCGCACGTTTTCGGGCCATTAAAAAAAACCTTACCGAAGTATTCCTCTCTTCTTGGAATTAGCATATGACGAAGGTGTTGAGTTCTTTTGAAATAAATATGAACATTACTAGCATTAATTTGTTCCAATGACAGAAAAAATTGACTTTACTCGGCTATCAAACAATAATGGAATTATTCTGGAGTGCCGAGACATGTTATAGGTTTATCCGCTTATGCAAAGTGATCCGATGATTTACCGGCGCCCCAATATACTGGTAAGACTTTTGGGTCTCAGCTGGGCTTATAGCATGCAGAGCCTGACGCATCCGATCAATAAATAAAGAAGATCGTCAGTACATCTTTCGTTTCCTGAACCAAAATTTTGTGGGAAATTACTGAAAATATAAAAAAGACATTCCTGCGATTTACTGAAAATATAAAAAAAAGACATTCCTGCGATGAAACTGTATACAGTGTGAACGGTGTACGTGATCGACGCTGCTCGGAGCCGTGAATCAAAGGTTATTTTTGACAGTTGAGTCGTTGAATTCCTACGGATTCGTTGAAATTGCTCTCAGAGAAATGAGCGTGTCATATTTCAAAAATGGTGACACACTTCTTGCAAGGAGCGCTGATACGCTCCTTTGCTGGGTCAAACTGGGTCAGGATGACCCACAATAGTGCATCTAGTCTCACTTGCTTTTTTGATTGTGTTTGATCATCTATCAGCATTATTTACGTTGTGTTAGGTCATCAGCATTTCCAGAACTATAATTATTCCTTATACATAAACTGAAAGTCGACGTCGCTGCATCTTTTCTTCGGCTTTGGCGTCAGCAAGTGGAAGAGCAACGAATGAAGAGAATGAACAGCGGGAAGAAACAAGTAAAAGTATGATTAACGAATATTTAATGAAAATACTGTCAATGACTTTTCTTTTGTTTTTAGGAGAAATGTGCGATAGGAATCTTTTAATCACTTTGCATCGTTAGTGACTCTTTGCCATGTATTGTGCCATCATGTTAATATACTCAATATACGGAACCATCAACTTAATTATTGACTATAGCATAACTCTACGAGTGTGGCTGTGACGGGAGGGGGGCTATGTTGCATTCGAAGCTTCTTCAATGACATCAGCGGAATTTTTTCTCATAGCCTTGAATCAATTCCCTATTGTACGTCTTCACTTGATATTGTGCAATTTCATTCAAATTTTTGAAATAATTAGTGATGTTTGCTGGACTTGTTGAAATAACAATAGAGAATAAATTGAGTAAATGCGTTCATATTCATTATTTGGCAAAGCTTTATATATTACATTATTATAAATATTTGATGCGCTTATTAGCGCATTTTCTCATTTATGGAAAAAATGCACTATTGTGCTCGCAAAGTCCGTCCGTCTGTCCGTGACCTCAAGTTTTCGTCGACGAGAAAATGCGCTCTCTGTCACTCACTGCAGTGAGTACTGAGTTATAATTTTTTATTTTATTACGCGCAGTTTCTCCCCAAAACAACTTCACAATTTCGTTTCATTCTAATTTCCATTAACCGCTGAATATAGTATCCATATTAAGAGGTAAGTTAAAAAGATTTATATCAGTCGGGGCACGCGACGTTTCCATTAAGCGTTTTTAGGTCTGAGAAGTTCCGAATAATAATTTTGATCAAGTATATGCATATAAATGAGATCCTGAGTTCGGAATCCCCTACCACATACTCTACGGTGGTCGGTGGTCTGATGAACTCGGTCAGATTCTAGGACAGTTAAATGTTAAAAAAAATATAACTCTGTACTCACTGCAGTGAGTGACAGAGAGCGCATTTTCTCGTCGACGAAAACTTGAGGTCACGGACAGACGGACGGACAGACAGACAGACGGACATGGCGAGCACAATAGTGCATTTTTTCCATAAATGAGAAATTGCGCTAAAAAGAAAGACCAGACATCGGTTAACACTAAGCTTCATTTTTAGTGCATTTATTCACCGTTGAACATTGATTATCACTTTTCATGTTAATATTTGAACAAAAATGCATTAGAATCCTTCATAGCAATGGAATAAATATTGAGGATACAAATATAAAGTATACTGCAGATAAAATTTATTTCTGATACATATTGATAACGAATTGTCTTATGCCATGACATGCCGTTCTGACGGCTACATAGATATTTAAGAATGCTGATCCCTCTGTAAGGGAGCATTGAATTAGGGTTTTAATTGATTTATACACATAAGGATTACGGATTACACCGAGCACATGTAGTGACGACAAGCCCTTCAACATAAATTTTCGTCCATCTTCTCCTGGGGACTGCAAATGCAATATAGAATTAACACGGAGAAAACTAATGCGTTTTTAAATCGAGGGTTCGTAAAAATGTATACGTGTTTTAAATGAAATATTTACAGTCACATTTGAGGTCCTGCTTAATTGAACATTTTACACGATGTTCAATACTTTCAACGTGATAAGGAAATAGCCTAAATTCAGAGTGAGAAATTTGTGAAACAATTTACAGATGAACCCCAGAAGTCGCCCGTATTCGATACATAATTGGAAGCAGACATAAAATTAAAATAATATCATGACTCTGAAGCATACCCGCCTCACGGGATCATCATAAAAACGTTGCTATCTTATGCTCATTCGTCGCAAGATGGCGTTAGTCCGCAGCTTTATTCTATTACGTAGTTCATGCGATTTTGTGGACACATCCCAATTGGATAATTGGATTCCGAAATCGAAGCTTCTCGGAACACATAACGTCAACTTCCGTAGTATCACTGCACATGACAATTACTAAACAATTATAGTTTAAAATAAGAAACTTCAAGCATGAAATAAAATGAAAGAAGGTACAATTGAAAGAGACGCTGTCAAACTAACTACTAACTAATTTAAAATCTAACTATCATAGTCAGAATTATGCAGCGTAGTAGATTTTGTCGTTTCTTCAATTGACTTAAACATTGAATGATTCATTATCAACCACAATTTACACACGACACGATTAGTATATATATTCAAATTATAATCTGATTATGTATATTAATGAATTCTTAGAACATCTGAAGATGGAAGACATTTATAGGGCTTACAATCATAAGTCTAACTAACATCTATAGATTATTTTCGCATACATTTTTATGGGGTTAACTGTTGACTGTGTTCTAACTTCGTTACTTCAAATCCTCAAGACCGGGAAGCATAGAGACAATGGATCATCGCCGACATTTTCTTGTATGATTTGGAAGCTTTATGCAGATTTCCCAGAAACTTGTAATATTTAGATGCGGTCCGATATTTTCTTCAAATCTTTTTTTAACAGTCGCAAACACCACCCCTTGACTTGAGAAAATGAAGCTACCTAGCATCACATTCTAAACAACGACCGTTTCTGAACCTACACAAAAGTTGCCAGGTAAGAGAATTTCATCACAAAAATGAGTATAGGTTCCCTTATACAAAGGGTCTATCAAAGACATTAGGATTATATTGTAATTGTTGGTACATGTGGAACTTGTCAGCATTTACACTTTCCATAATCAGGATCAAATCCGTCAACTGTTTATTCGTGATAATGTATAATCATTACCATCGTATTTTATGCAACTGTGCTGCAACAGAAAATGCTCACTATATCAGAAGATTGACTACTTATCTATTTAATCAAAGATTATTTTACAAAAATGTGGGTGTATTAATTAGTGGTAACTGCATTATACGAATAAGTGCAACTACATATGAGAAATCCGCGAGCGAACTGACTACGTGCGCTTATCGTACTTCTGGCAAGACTGTCATGGAAGACAATGGTTGTTAAAATGTTTTTTACTCACAATCCACATCAATTGTATGAATTTGACTATACAATAAGATCTTGAAAATTGCTTTAGGCCGACATCAACCTAATTTTAGAAAAATCTATAATATATATGCTAATTTTATGCAATATTTTCTTTCACAAGCCATGAGCTATGAAGTTGAATAAGAAACTGAATGCACAATACAAATGTGCTCATAATTTTGACCTAATATCCGGTCATAACTCTGTGCCTAATCCCAATAAATGAATGCTTAAGCACTGCTTTTTCAGGAAATTGTGCAGTTGCAAAGCGGCAGAGCGTCTCTACTTCAATAATTTGCTGCTCTAACTTGCCGTACAAGAATGACCATCAACATCGTGAAGGGCTGCAATTGGGCCAATTACGGCTACGCCTCCGCGGGCGCGGCCTTCACGGTAACACCGAGACAAATGACACAAGATTAGCGCCAGTATTTTACAATCAAAAACGTCAGCAACGTGTCCTTGTGCAACATATGTTGCCTGAACATCTGCAACAGAATCTATTTGGACATTAAAATTCGTAACTAATGTCTTCATTTTTGTACTCAACTAGCAAAAAATTTAAGAGATCTTTGGTTCAATTTCACAAGGTTCAAATCAAATAAGGGATAGTAGAGTCTAAAAATGTCATCATAAAATGATTCATGCAATTAGCGAAGATTACCATAATTTTATCTTTGGCAAAATCGAATGCCCTGCCGCAATATTAATGGCGATAAAAAATTTAGCTTTGCATCAGTTATTCCTTACGTCAGACCGCTTTGTGAGGACTCTCAACAGGCGTAGAGTGGAGGCAGCTTTACATGTTGTAGCCGATGTAGGAGAGTGGAGGCTGATTTACATGTTGTAGCCGTTGTAGGAGAGTGGAGGCTGATTTACATAGTAGAGTGGAGGCAGCTTTACATGTTGTAGCCGTTTTAGTAGAGTGGAGGCAGCTTTACATGTTGTACCCGTTGTAGTAGAGTGGAGGCAGCTTTACATGTTGTAGCCGTTATAGTAGAGTGGGGGCAGCTTTACATGTTGTAGCCGTTGTAGTAGAACTCTGGGAACCAGTTCAGGCGGGCCAGACGTGCAGCTAAAAGCAAAATTGAGCAATTCATTATTTGTTTAGAATCGACATGACGGAAAACCTAGTCAGTTGCCTGCATGAAAACTATTTGCACGGCATGCACCTTGAAACAGATATTGAAATAATCACAAAATAAAATAACTAAGCAGGAGCTATTTTTATTTTTTAGCGATTTTCAGGGTTAGAATCTTCGGGAATTCCGACGGTATCCAAATTCACTTGACCATAAAGAACTAACAAGACCAGATATTGCTTTGTAGGCAGGCAAGCCAGTCAATGTGTCACGTTCCGAGAAGTTTTCAATGCCCTAAACTTTTTCCAACTTTAAATCTTTATTCTCATTCGCAAATTAAATTTTGACAGGAAATGATAGCCACTTATGGTGACGAAACACTATTGAAGATTTAAGAATTCCCTTTATAAAGTTATTGGTAATAATTTTTTGAAGCGATATGAAGTCTTTGCGTCTAACACAGTTGTGTTCTTATATAGCCTCTGCTATTCTAGAGCCAGCAATCAAAACAATTATGAATTTTTGTTCCTTTTAGTCAGAGTTTGCTTAGAGAGACGGCGTGAAGCGAGCCTTGATTGCACACTGAATGCTGATGTTCCTTAAATTTCTTTTGATCACTCACGTTGCCATGGTTATCATCAATGATGACACAATTTAGGGGGAATACAAGGAATTTTGACATGAAATTTCAGTAATAAAGAGAAGAAAGAAATTTTGTAGATCAATTGTAGGTATAACCTTCAAAAATTTTGAGTAGCACCAATTTTTACGCTTTGTTATGTGGTTAAAAATAATTTTATTACCCTAGAATTACTTTAGAAAAACTGGATTGGATTACTATTTTTTCTCAACGTCGAAAAAAGTTCTGATGTGTGAAGACAAGACTACAAAAAAGCCCAATTTTTGATGAAACATTTAATTTCCATAATGGAAATAGCTCGTGGAGAAGTTGGAACGGTCTCACAAGAAATCAATTGCTTCAGCGCTTCATTATAAATTTAATCCATTGATAAGGGAGAAACATTTTTACTGACATTTTTCGTTCTCAAAAGTTGAGCAAAATAATTTGTCTGCTCTCGCGATCCGAGCTTTGACTGTTTGCCGGCCCACGCATGCAGCAGCTCCCAAAGTTTGCAAAAACGCTCAGTCTCTTAGAACAAGAGATCAAGTTTCCCGTATCCACGTTCATTCATTCTAGGGAGAAAAATTGGGTGCACACATCATGATGTTGAATTTAACCACGTTGATCCAGGGTTCCTAAGCAGTAAGATTGCAGACAAAAATCGTGTCTACGCATGTAAACTGCGGGATTCATAGTCATTAGAAATGATGGAAAAACTTTACTGCGCGTCAAGTCATATGGTTCAAATATTTTTGAATAGTGGATAATTTTAAGTCATTAGGACGTAAGATAAAAAATTTCAGCAGGAATACTCACGCAAGAATTTCTTAACTGGCATGTCCTCCTCCGATCCTCCAACGAAGTCCATGCCTCCCGCCTTCTCGAAGTCTGGTGCAAAATTTATGCCAGCGGAGATGGGAAGAATGTCATCGTCATCATAATACTCGAGTGATCGTTTGTGTCGTCCTCCATGGTCATCATTGCCGTATTCGTCTTCATTTTCAGCCTCTGAAGCATTACGCTTGGTCCTCATTTCACCAGCAGAAGGGCTCTTGAAATTAAGCGCAGAACCAAGGAAACGCTTATCAGCGCTACCGTCAGATTTGCTGCCCATGTCAGTATTTTTGGAATTATCTACAAGCGACGCATAGAATCGCTTGTCTTCATTCTTATTGTCAGTGCCCGACTGAATGATGGATTCTACGAAACGTTTTTCAGTGTCGTGATTCGGTTCCTCTGCCCAGGAGGATCCCGGTCCTCCATTCCCGAAGTTCCGGCGCGAGCCTATCGCTGAACCGCGAAATCCATTGTTTCCAATTTTGAATGCAAGCCTTGAGTTAATGGCCGATCCTAAAAATCGCTTGATCCCGGAATTACCAAGAAAAGGTGTTTCAGAATTTTTCAGCGAACCAAGAAAACGTTTGCCTTCAATTGTACGAGACCCCAGCAATGATCCAATGTGTCTTTTTGTTTCATTTTCCTCAAAGGGTTCATCCTGATACAGAGACCTCATCCTGGAACTGCCTAGCAATGAAGAGAAATGTCGTTTTCCAGGAAAAGAACTGTACAGATTTCCATGTGCATTTGTATCCAGCAAGGAACCCAAGTACCTTTTCTGCAGTTCATCCAGTTGATTTTCTTCTTCGCTGGTAGTCTGATCATAATTTGGTTCTCGCTTGTTTACTTTACCTCGAAGAGCAGACCCAATGTGTTTCTTTCCTGGTGTTTTGAAACTGAAACTCTTCATGACGGATCCAACAGAACGCTTCTCGTATTCATCAGCATCGCTGTTTGCGTCGTCTACGTCGTAAAACTGTTGATCATCCAACGATCCAGCATGGCGTTTGGTGATGTGACGTCCCTGAGAGTATGGACTGTATCGATTAATGAGAGAGGCGTAGCTTCTTTTATCGAAGTCATTGCCTTGCCTATCTAAGATTGATCCCAAAACGTTGCTGCTGGGCCCGAGATCTGAGTCCCTTAAAGCGGATGATTTTAGAAGCGAAGCCACAAACCGTTTTGTATCGCTTTTTGAGTCATCCAGGATTGAAGAAAACGACCTCTTGCCTGCTATTCCAATACCACTTTGACTCTTCAACAGGGAAGAAAACGGACGTTTGCCTTTGAATGAATCACTCTTAAGTAAGGAAGCAACATTCCTTTTTTCATACCCTTCACCAGGCGCACCGTAATCGTTTTCAAGAAGTGAACTGAAAAATCGTTTGGAAGGGGCATCACCGTAGTAATTCATTCGATTCATCCTTGCATAATACTGGGGGAGGTTTTCTGATTTCAGGAGCGATGCTAAATATCGTTTGTCAGGTCTATCATAAGTTTGATATTTTCCACCCGACTGTCCCCTGAAGCGCAGAGCCGGACCGATATGCCGCTTATAGCCCTGCATGAATGATGGTATAGTTTTGCTATTGACGAGAGAAGCGATGTTTCGCTTATCCATCGCGTATGGATCAGAGTCATCTTCAACGTTGTAATCTTCCTCTGGCTCCACAAAACTGTCGATTTCTTCACCGACGCCATCAAAGTCTCCATCAAACCGCTTATTTGCAGCAGGGAAAAGAGCAGTGTTTCGACCTCCTGTTCTGGCAAGCCATGCGACATTCCTTTTGTCTTCTCCTCGTGGACGGAAGAAGAACTTGCGGTTGCCGCTTCGTGCCCAGTAAGCGACGTTTCTCTTTATTGGAATGTAGCTGTCAGTTTGCTCTGCGACCTCATCGTAATCTGTCGCGCACACCATACAGAAAACCTGCACGATGGCAACATACAATTAAGAAGGAATTCGGGTTAATGGAAAGATCGCACTAAAAAGAGAGAAGCCAAGAGTGAGAACATCGCAGTTCTAATGCATCACCGAGGAGGAAATCTGACGATGAAGAAAAATATTAATGATTGAATTAGTTGATGACTTAGTATGGGTTTCTAAATTTCAGAGTTGAAATCAATTAAAGCTCACACATTTATTTTTATTTCTACGGGAAAATTTACTTTGCGTCCGAGAAACTTCTCTGAATGTGATGCTTTCGTTCGAAATGCTCGAGTTAAACTTCTTCACCAACTTAAACTTCTTCATTTTTGAACTTATTGTAGCCGCGACTAAAAGTTAAAACGAAAAAAGGGACGTTACTACAAACTTTCATAAAATGGCGAGTGAAATTTTCGAAAATTGATTACTTCAAATCCACAATGATGCAACCCTATGCGATTTAGCTCTTTGAATATAAGACCTAACGTTTGAACTGGAAATAATTCTGAAAATACTTTCGCTTGTGTAGGCGTCATTTTCGATTATGTGTGATTCATAATTCATTGACATGAAATACTGCACCGCATGTGGGAAATATAACGCAGTTTTTGTCTATAATATTTTGTTCTTTTATGTTATTGGAGCCAAGAACGCATTAATTTTATGATTTGTACGTGTAATTGCCAAAGGCATACCAGCGACTTGATCGATTCGGTCTGGAGTTATGAACCGCTAGCAGAGTCGTGAAGAGACCATCAAATCACGGATTATGGTGTCGTAAAGCAGCACGTGTGAGGGCATAAACATGGAGTGCGCAGTAGCTTAGTTCGTTAGTGTAGGTGAATATTACGTCGCAACATGTCAGTCAATCAGGATCTTTTTGTTCCTTGGGATCGAGTGAAGAACTCAAGAAGTTATCGAGTGCTAATTTATGACGGCAGCTGGGATGTTCTTCAAAACAGTTTTGACCCTGGACTAGCATTGGAGAGTGGAACTGGAGTGATTAGAAGAAACAGGGGCAGAACCAAAATGATATTATAATAAACTTTTAACGTTTCATATGATTTTTCTTTGTGGTTTTTGGCGCAAATTGATCGAAATCTTGTACGACGGCTCATGCTTTTCTAAGCGAAATAAAAACACAAGAATGAAAACTTTGGGATTAAATTTTTCACTCACGAAACGAACAATGGAAATGTATAATATTTTTTATTTCTCAATAACAGTTATGACACTGGTGACTCCTAATGCGCTTGATGTTTTTATCCGCATTTAAACACTCTTTGAAGTCTATTAAATTTGCGTTACTACGTCAGGAATCCAAACGGTTCATACAGCTCATCATAAATCACCATTGGACCGCGATTGAGTCTTAAGGCCTTCCGATACACCGATATCGAGGGAGCGGGCCGGTGACTTCCCGACGTTGGCCAGAAACACGAGCCAATAAGTGATTACACGGCGACGTCCAAAGCAAAACCACCTGCATGGAAAGGGTAAACATTTTTTCCGGTGAGTGGAATGGTAAATATTTTGGTGCAATACCTGCTACTAACGTTTATGATTCGCAAGGATTTTTCGAACCTTAATATTTTTCAATAGTGTAAAATAATGTTCTTGGTCCCACACATAAAATGCTAATTTTGCGGCTCACTAAGTTTTAATTTCAAGTTTATCAACTGCCAAGGGTGATAAATAGAGTTCATCTCGGAGGCGAGTTTTCTTCAAGTCTTGACTTGCAATTTTGGTGAGAGTCTCTTCACAAAGAACATCAAGCGCCATTCAGTAGGCAATAAGTGGCGCGGAAGGCTGCGCAATTAAGGGAGTTGGTAGACTCATTTGTGCCGTGCAGTCTTTGCCAGGCTGAGTAAAACACGGACCGCCTTCAGACCAACTCGGAAAAAATTCCTGATAATTTTCACACTCGAAGAGAAAAAAAAATAAAATTCAAATAACATGTATCTAAATGTAAATTTTTTCAGTATCCGTCTGCATCCCTTTTCGACATACGCTGATCAGGTGTCATTGGTTTTTCATGAATTTTGCCGCTTTTGCACTTTGAATGGCCCCTGCAAGTCTGTTCTTGCGGAAGAGGCTTCAATTTAAGAACCGAGTTAATTTCCGGGAAGCTGGCTTATCCGTTGATCATGGCTTGCTTATGCCCCTCGGGGGTCTAAATTTCGTGGAAGCCTTGAGTTCGTCGAAAGCAGCAACTTAAAATGATGACAACGTAAGATTCCAAGAAATCATCTAGAATTGGGACTTCTTAAAGCCTCTGGCCCTTTGACGTGATTTCTACGACATATGATGATTAATAATGATACAATTTAAGACGTTTCAAATCTAGAGTGTGGATCAGCAATACGATAGTTTATGGTCAACTAAGTTGAAATTAATCTCATGCTTCAGGTACATCTTACAAATAAATCCACTCTGAAACAGAAAAAATCTTGAATTGCGTCTTGTGCTGGCTGCGGAACGGATTTCGTTTAGCTTATCGGATATTATTTATCACTACTTATCCTGAGCATGATCTCCATTACCAGCGCAGCCTCAATTCGGCCTGATGATTCGGCAATTCACCAACACAGCCTAGACTAGGCATGATCACCATCACCAGCACAGCCTTGTCTAGGTTTGACCACCATCACCAGCGGAGCCGCATCTTGGCATGATCACCATCACCAGCACAGCCTTGTCTAGGCACGATCACCATCACCAGCTGGAGCCTAGTCTTGGCATGATCACCATCACCAACCGGAGCCTCGTCTTGGCATGATCACCATCACCAGACGGAGCCTCGTTTTGGCATGATCACCATCACTAACTGGAGCCTTGACTAGGCATGATCACCATCACCAGCTGGAGCCTAGTCTTGGCATGACCACCACCACCAGCTGGAGCCTCGTTTTGGCATGATCACCATCGCCAGCGGATGGTGATCTTGCGCTGGATGATCGACAATCATCAGCCTACGTAATGATCATGATGAAAAGAAAGCAACTTCGGGGCTCTCAATTTCCAACGGCACGACAATATCTAATCTGCGTTTCGGCGGCATCTTCTCACCAAAATTTCATCTGCATGCGTAAATTCAATCTTCCTGCAATGAAGGACGAAATAAAATTGTAATTTGTGATGTGACATAAAACATTGAAAATAATGTGCTTTCACTAAAATATATATTTTATTGTTTTAATAATATGGAACAGTAGACTTAAATGCAGTGAAAGAGTTTGCCTGTACATAGCTGTTATGCATAAACTCAGAATGTGTTAGTGACAAGGGTTGACCTAATAATTGTTAAAGAGCAGGCAAATTTTATGAGGATAAAGCTAAATTTTTATCCGACTCAAATATCTAAATATTCTGTACAAGAGGATTTGAATGCGAGGAGAAGACAATGGATTTGTCTAAAAATGGAATCATTTGTTTTACAAAGTTGCAGACAAAAATTGATGTCGTCCTGAGAAGGATGCTTCAAATTAAATAAGACCAGGAATTTAAATATTTACTCGAAATCATTAAAAAATCATCGTGACAATTTAAGCCTTCAAGTGAATGTAAGTTTATCAAGTTTGTCGAATGTAAAATTTTATGCAGGGTCTATGCAAAAAGTCAGATTTTATCGAGGATCAATTTGCATTTGGTATGGCGAAAACAGATGAGAGACTCGCGGAGGAGCCAAACAACATATTTTCCTTGTGCATTAATTGAGACCGTGCTAATTGACTTGCAGAAAATAATTCAAAATTAATTACTGTCAATTGTTATCCAATCGAACAATTTCAAATTACCGAAATCGGGTTTAAATGCTCAAATTTCCACTGCAAATCGACTACTGATATTTCTGTCTATGAAGAATATTTTCTATTAACACATTTACACAGCGCTGTGGGTGAAGGAATCTTCACTACAAAATCTTCACTTTAAAATCAATCTACTTTCTACATGTATAACGGTAATGTCACCACGTGAACATCAGGCATGGAGATGCTGCCAGTTTGTCATCGGCACTGGAAAGTGCGAGCTCAAGTACGCCTTGGATTTGAACTTCTTGTCCGGGCTGAACGTTGTTTGCATAGCCACTGCCATGCTCATCGCAATCCCTTGCCATCTGCCTAATGACTTCCTGCGCAGGGCTGAGGACGACACAAATGTGGAAACCTTCACGTTCAGGGCAGCGAACTTCTGCTAAACTTTTGGTCGCCAGATGCTACAATGAAGAAATCTCAGGGAACTCAGAGCGGACAACATTACCGGAATTTTGTGTGGGAATTTTTTCGTCTAACTGAAGTGTGTCAAAATAAATAACTAGAAAAAATGAAAAGTTTGCTATTTCAGTTGAGGAAGGCGACAGTTTTTAATTTTAGAATTTATTTATTTATTGTTTCGACATGACTTGATGCCCACGCAATGGTAAGAGATATTTCCGAAGACAGGTAATGGTTAGTATGAAATATTCTCAATAATTAAATCTAAATGTGAATTGTGAATAACAATTTGCAAAAATATTAGTACTAGCAAGTACATAATACATTAATAGGTTATAGAATTCGTTAATAGAAGAGTTTTCTTTGTAATGACATCAGAATATTGTTTTATGATTAATACCAGGATTGTCAAACTATTCGTGTTGATACATATCATCACCAGCGTGCCATCATAAGGCGGTTTCATCAGTTAAAAAAAATGATTGAAGGCTATACAGCCTCTTCTAACGTTTGTATCATTGAATTTCAATTAAGAAGCACCAATTGCCGTCAAAATCGCGCGTCTCTCATACTTGTGTTAGTGAAGCATGGAAGTCACTGTTCTGAACAGTGAACTCTTCGTGGAACACTCGTAAATTGGAGAGGGAGTTGTGAGAACTCATTAACAGAGTTTACTATCCAATTAGCACTTTGACACTACTTGAGGCCACATTAATGAGTTGCGAGCTCTAATTACTGCCCGGTAGCTAGAGATGAGACTTCGTGACAGCAAATTTCGATAAGTTACAGCGATATTGGCAAGTGTTAGAGAAACAGCCTTACTGCATACCAAAATAATTGTTCTGGAGCAGCCACTGCAGCTACTGTACCTGCATACCACAATGTCTGTTTTAATCGATACGCGTTCTTTCTTCGTACCTACGAAGTTGGTTCTCGTCGCATCGGCGTGAACAAAACATATATATATAGGAAAAAAATTAGATTTACGATTAAAATTGGGAAATCCTGTTTTTCTTCAATTTGAATGTTATTGGTGAGAGTATTATTAAATAAAAAAACGCTTGGTGTGATTGGAAAGTTAGAAGTAAAACCACTTTAGGTGCACACAAGCAGGGTTTTCTTACATTGGACCAAATGCGTTACTGTAAATTAATGAAGATGTTTCAAAATATCAATTGTGATAAAAAGGATAAAAGTATGATTTTTCAGATTTAATTTTGGCTGAAACAAAGAAAAAAACATAGGTTTGATTAAGAGGAATGACTAACTACATCTGCGTGTCTGCTTTATCCGTACCGACGAGCTACGGTGCAGGACAATCTCACCCCTGCAATTATTTGGAGTGCCGGCAACTGCAATCTGGATTGTCTGAAGAGGAATGGAACTCTGGGAAAGGCTCTCGAAAGCTATAGTGTGTTCCACTGAAAAATGAATAACGTTCATGGAAGCTAAATATAAATATAAAACGGTATTTTCTCTGATACCGTACACGGAAAACAACTTACTTATTTTCAGCTGCTATGTAAAAATTGCGAGTAAAGAATTTATTAATTCTTAAACGCAAACCCACTAAATCTTGTACAATTTGTAGAATTTTTGAGTTCAAATGATGCTATTTTCCCATTTTTTGAGTTTTTCACGGCCATTCAACACCTACAAAAAAAAACGCAATCATTTTACACGTTTTTCATTCAAAATGAGAATATTATTGACACCTTTGTAAATATTCTGATCCTTTTTCAGAAAATTTCCCAGGCATCGTCATGGCAAAATGAAGTCACACTTTTCCTCATCCGTTCGTCTTCTTCCACGGCAGCCCAGGAGGTCGTGAGGCTACAATGGAGCCAAAATTCGTCTAGCTGCTGACAAAGGCATCCTGAGCGATGGAGGCTCGGGCTGCCTTTCTGTATCTCCTTTCGCTGAATAATGCGGTAAGTGAATGTGGGCCTGGCTCCTATGAACAATATATATTATTATAAATAGATCCACTGCAGGGGCATCCATCTTCTCACCTCAGAAGCGTTTAGATATTTTGAGGAATGAAGGGAGCTCTCGCTCATCCAAGGACCAACCAAGGAATCGGACATGTAAATAATATTTTTTGGAATTCAACGTGAAAATTCTATTGACGATTCACAATAATAATGGTAATACTTAAAAGTGTTTAACTAAAATAATTATAAGTGTTTCACAAGACGTTATAAAATCTTTAGTTCGGATGGTTTACAAATTCAAAATGTGTTTCAACGTTTAAGAAAATTAGTTTTGGGAGCAAACATTATTTAAGGCCAATTTTGTCTATATCGACATTCATGCATATCCTCGGTTTCTGCTAATGAATGCCAAACAATTTTTGCAGGTTGTTAAAATATGTATATATTCTATTGGCCTAACTTCTAATTCCTCCATTTTGAAAAAAATCTATATATTCGTTTTACATAATTCATTGTGTCTCCTTGTGATTTTCATAGCACTATCCTAAGTTGCACTAATAATGCATCTCATGATTGCTCTCGATGTTATTTATTTTTTCGGACAAAGTGACTTCAACATCCATAATAACAGTATGTTTACGCGCTAGCAACCCTGGGCGTCCAAACTCAGTGGAAGCCAAACTTCAAAGCAAGTTCTGTTCACACGATGCAACTTAAGTAGTACTCAGGTAAAGTTTTGATACTCAATTTACCGTTTTGTGAAACCTATGAGCGTTCCGATAAATGCCTTAGCGAACATGCATTAAATTGTAATGCATTAAACTAAACATTGACTCGAATATTTTGAATTTTCGTTTCGTTTATTGAATGATTGAATATCGAATTTGTGAAATAGTTTCAAATTTGATCTGCAAAATAATACGATTATAAGAGCTAGTTTGTTCCATAATGTATGCAATAATTAATCCAGGGTTGAATGAAGACCAGAGCATACTTTTTATGAACAATTTTCTTATAGTTTCTTCAATAAGCCAAACAAAATTTCTTGCCGGTGCATGGAGATCAAAAAGTAGATTACCAAATGATATTTTACTGGAATACGACGTTTCGAATATATTAACATTCATTCTCAAGTAGGTGAAGGGTTATTACATCTCTTGAAATTGAAATTTTGAAATGACATATGTACATACAAAAAGTATCATAGATACGGTTCAAAATCGAAAATTAAATTAATACGAGAAGAATTTCAACGTCCTGACGAATCCGATGGTTTGCAAATTGATAGCAGAAACTCGTCCTTGAAGATTAGAGCCTCCGCTAGTCTCGTAGTGTGTCGGGGCACCGCATGACGATGCTGGTGCAGGCCTCCAACGTGGCACGGGTGATGGTCTCGTTGTGGGCCTCCCGCATATGATTCTTTGGTCCTCCAGCTTGAAGATGACATGTCGAGCTGGTAAACCGATATAATTTACATTTTGGAGAAGTCTACAACCTTCTTTCAAGCATGAGAATTTGTAAATAACGTTGGTCTCTTGCAGTGGTCCAGACTTTTTACATGGATTATTTTTAATGATTAAATTCTTGATCATTTTGTTTCTGTAGTAAATCGAACGTATTATTTGATCAGTTACTGTTGTGCAGTATATGACAGAACAGTCCACATCAAGAGGTTGCGTCACCAGAATTTACTATCAAAATCAGATGAACAGCGGTCATAGGACAGACGAACGAGTCTTCAATTCAATTGTTCATAATACCTGCTGCACAACAGTAACTGACCAAATAAAACGTTCGATTTACTGCAGAAACAAAAAGATCAAGAATTTAATTATGAAATATGATCCATGTAAAAAGTCTGGACCACTGCAAGAAACCAATGTGATTTACAAATTCTGCTTGAAAGAAGGTTGTAGACTTCTCCAAAATGTAAATTATATCGGTTTGACCAGCACGACATTGAGCCGCAGACTCACAGGCCATCTTCAAGCTGGAGGACCAAAGAATCATATGCAGGAGGCCCACAACGAGACCATCACCCGTGCCACGTTGGAGGCCTGCACCAGCATCGTCATGCGGTGCCCCGACACTACCAGACTGTCAATAGCGGAGGCTCTCATCTTCAAGGACGAGTTTCTGCTATCAATTTTCAAGCCGCCGGATTCGTCAGGACGTTGAAATTATTCTCTGATTAATTTAATTTTCGATTTTTAATCAAAATCAATTTAATTTTCGATTTCAAGCGTTGTAATAACTCTTCACCATAATGAATATTGAAATATTCGAAACTTCCTATTCCGGTAAAATGTCCTTTGATAACCTTCTTTTAGCGCATTTTCACATTTATGAAAAAAATGCACTATTGTGCTCGCCATGTCCGTCCGTCTGTCCGTCTCTCTGTCCGTCCGTGACTTCACGTTTTCGTCGACGAGAAAATGCGCTCTTTGTCACTCACTGCAGCGAGTACTGAGTTATATTTTTTATCTCCAAGTAACAGCAAGAAATTTCGTTCGGCTTAATTTATTGAAAAAAAAAATTGTTAATAAAAAGTACGCTCTGGGCATCAATCCAAACTTGTATACATGAAGAACTCCTGCCCAACTACACTAAATGAATCCAAATATGAAAAGATTTCTTACGATGCTATACTATTTGATACGCGATAAATTCCCAGCTCTTCAGTTTCTACTTCAGACTCAGATTGAAAGAGTCTAAATCAGTCTTCCGACTCAGGCTTCATGCCATTTCCTTGGTCGCGAAGTATTCGCGAAAGAAGAATATTTTCGGTCACGACTTCGAAAGAAAAGGCTTTTTGTTTGTGTTGTGACCGGCGCCTGATAACTGGGAGCTCATTTCCGCGTTCGCTTGGGAGGAACGCAGTTGCCGATAGCTGAAACGCTTTCGAAACACAACGCCTCTTAGCACTGAGTGCGCGCGATATTGGGACCTTGCATGCTTCGCTATCTCGCTAGAGACACAATGTAAAACATTTATAATATGGAAAAAATTTACGGCGTCATTCAAACACTACATTAATAATTCAACAACGTGCTAATTTTTTGATAGAGGATATTTGTCTTTGTAAAATAAACAACACAATTAATCAAATGTTTTAGGTAATTGTTAATAACTTGAAGCCTTTATATTTTTTATCTAAGTCAAGTTATATTATTTTCTAATAGCTAAGCACGCTTTATCAACACTTGTATTAAAGTAGCTAACCTCAAATTACAATGCCGATAATTCTGAGGCTCGAACTTCCCTTGTTCTACTCACCGACATTGCGAGGATTGTTAAAGCCAGCCACAAGGAAACATGCTGCCCTCTGGTAGCCATGTCCCCTGATGTCGACCAAATGTTTCAGAGTGGACTGGCTTCGCTCCAAATGATTGTTTTAATCAGCCACTGAAGTTTCTCGGTAAAGTAATCTGCAAAGGAAAAGTATACGTGTATGTTAGTATAGTCTTATTTTTGGAACGCGTTCGGCACATGTTACAGTACATAGTTTCATTGGCGAATTTCATCATACGGATGCTTGGCCCTGATGCTCTACGAATGAATTTCATCATACGCGGATTTAGATATTTGGAAAATGAGTACATTTCAACATTGTCTACTGAACGCGAAGTATTATCTTCCAATTTGGATGCGAGTTCTTCCAATTAAACTAAGAGCCCCGCCGCGCCACTCATTTTTAACTCAGCAAAAACTTTTGCTTTCAAGAGTCTCGTTACGCGCTCCAAGCGAGAAGTTTCTGTCTGGGTCCAGCCTGGCGACGTTGCTGACAACGACACGCTTTGTGCCATCTAGCGTGTGACATCCACCATCGCAGTGTTGTCAGAGACCCTGAGTCCCTGTCCTTGTTAGGACACCATCGCAGTGTTGTCAGAGACCCTGAGTCCCTGTCCTTGTTAGGACACCAACGTCGTGTTGTCAGAGACCCTGAGTCCCTGTCACTGTTAGGACACCAACGTCCTGTTGTCAGAGACCCTGAGTCCCTGTCCTTGTTAGGACACCAACGTCGTGTTGTCAGAGACCCTGAGTCCCAGTCACTGTTAGGACACCAACGTTGTGTTGTCAGAGACCCTGAGTCCCTGTCACTGTTAGGACACCAACGTCCTGTTGTCAGAGACCCTGAGTCCCTGTCTTTGTTAGGACACCAACGTCGTGTTGTCAGAGACCCTGAGTCCCCGTCTTTGTTAGGACACCAACGTCGTGTTGTCAGAACCCTGAGTCCCTGTCACTGTTAGGACACCATCGCCGTGTTGTCAGAGACCTTGAGTCCCTGTCACTGTTAGGACACCAACGTCGTGTTGTCAGAGACCCTGAGTCCCCGTCTTTGTTAGGACACCAACATCGTGTTGTCAGAACCCTGAGTCCCTGTCACTGTTAGGACACCATCGCCGTGTTGTCAGAGACCTTGAGTCCCTGTCACTGTTAGGACACCAACGTCGTGTTGTCAGAGACCCTGAGTCCCTGTCACTGTTAGGACACCATCGCCGTGTTGTCAGAGACCCTGAGTCCCTGTCACTGGTAGGACATCAACATCGTGTTGTCAGAGACCCTGAGTCCCTGTCAGTGTTAGGGCACCATCGCTGCGCAGACAGAGACACTGTACCCCTCTCAGTGTCTGGACACCATCATAGTGTTGTCAGAGGTGCTGTATCCTTGTCAGTGTCTGGACACCATCGCAATGTTGTCAGAAACCCTGAGTCCCTGTCCTTGCTAGGACACCAACGTCGTGTTGTCAGAGATTCTGAGTCCCTGTCACTGTTAGGACACCAACGTCGTGTTGTCAAAGACCCTGAGTCCCCGTCTTTGTTAGGACACCAACATCGTGTTGTCAGAGACCCTGAGTCCCCGTCTTTGTTAGGACACCAACATCGTGTTGTCAAAGACCCTGAGTCCCCGTCTTTGTTAGGACACCAACATCGTGTTGTCAGAGACCCTGAGTCCCCGTCTTTGTTAGGACACCAACATCGTGTTGTCAAAGACCTTGAGTCCCCGTCTTTGTTAGGACACCAACGTCGTGTTGTCAGAGACCCTGAGTCCCTGTCACTGTTAGGACACCAACATCGTGTTGTCAGAGACCCTGAGTCCCTGTTTTTGTTAGGACACCAACATCGTGTTGTCAAAGACCCTGAGTCCCCGTCTTTGTTAGGACACCAACATCGTGTTGTCAGAGACCCTGAGTCCCCGTCTTTGTTAGGACACCAACATCGTGTTGTCAGAGACCCTGAGTCCCCGTCTTTGTTAGGACACCAACATCGTGTTGTCAGAGNTTGTCAGTGTCTGGACACCATCGCAGTGTTGTCAGAGGCACTGTATCCTTGTCAGTGTCTGGACACCATCGCAGTGTTGTCAGAGGCACTGTATCCTTGTCAGTGTCTGGACACCTTCGTCGTGTTGTCGGAGACGCTGTATCCTTGTCAGTGTCTGGACACCATCGCAGTGTTGTCAGAGGCGCTGTATCCTTGTCAGTGTTGGGACAGGAAGCTTGGCGACGCAGGGATGCGTCCCGCTGTTTACTCCGAGCAGCTCAGCATTTGCTTTTAATTACAGAGCGCGGGCTGGTTTGTGGTCTTAGAATTGCAATGCGTCTGACTTGCCAACAGTGGAAGTGAATGAAGGGGGATGTTTGATGGAGTGGGAAGTAACCAAGACAGAGATCTTTTTGGCAAATTGAAAGCAGGTTCTTTGGAGAAAATTCGTTTCGTGTTATACCTGGAAGGGAATGCAAGTCATCACGCGCTCTCCCTCGCCGATCCCGTAAACATTTATCGAAGGATTCAAGTTGGGCTCTTAATTTATGCCCAGCTGCAACACGCTGGCAATCGGCATCAAATTCAGGCAAGTAAACCTCTATATGGATTAGTTACAGATAAATTGAACTGCTCAATAAAAAAAACTTCATGGACACGAAACGATGTCTTGCGGCGCTGCATCCCGACAAAAATGGAGCAGAAATTCTCTCTTTGTTTTCCGAGCGACTCGCGCCTTTTCTGAAGTCTAAAATCCCCCCCCCCCCCAGGCCTCGAGCAGTGATCCTCGTCGTATACTTTAATCCTCACTCGGTCCGCATCTCGGCGCACCACGCACTAAGATTTAAAGATTTAGCAGGAGCACCAGCGTATAATGAACCAAGATTATCTGCTGCAAAACATCAATGCAGCTCCGAAAAATTGTGATACGCAACTGGCGAGAACTTAATTCGTAATGGAATTAATTTAAAGGAGGGAATTTGAATAAGGTGCATATTTATGGAAAGCTTGAAATTTTGCACGTCAAGCTGGAAGAAGTTGATGGAGGGATAATAGCATCGAGCGCTTATAACAGAGCAAAGAAGTAAAATGAAACTGATGAACAATTCTACTGTTTTGTCAAGTATTGAGTGTTAAATTAGCTTCGGAATTAAATGATAATTCGGAATCCATCTTTTATTGCACATTAGGAATTACAGTTCAAAATCAAAGATATTTTTATATCGTAAAACGGGTATACCTTTGATAAGTTCGTACGCACGAGGGCATATTTTATGATCTATTGTTGTAAAGATTAACAGGCAGCGTTCGTTGAAAAAGAGATGATAAAGCAGAATACAGTAACTGTAGCACATAAAACACGTTTATTTTTTCAGTTTGCATTTTCATCCTGACGGCTTCCACTGTCAACCTTTTCGTAAAGATTAAGGCGGCTTATAATTCATTTCATAGATGCTGTGAGGAGTAGAACTGGCCTACTAGATTCCTTTAAACAAACAGGAGCACCAGAGCATCGGCTGCAGTGTAGCAGCAGCAGCCACAGCAGCAGCAGGAGGAGCAACAGCAGCAGCAGCTGCTAGAGGAGCAACAAAGCAGCGGCTGCAGTGTAGCAGCAGCAGCCACAGCAGCAACAGGAGAAGCAACAGCAGCAGCAGCAGCAGCTAGAGAAGCAACAGAGCAGTGGCTGTCGCAGCAGCAGCCACAGCAGCCACAGCAGCAGCAGCAGCAGCAGCAGCTGCAGGAGCAACAAAGCAGTGGCTGCAGTTCAGCAGCAGCTACAGCAGCTTTAAGGCAAGGCTTACGTCACCCGAATTACCGAGCGCCTCCACACACCAAATGGAATATCCTTCACTCTAGCTGGGGCATGTGACCGTAGCTCTGATGCTATTTTATAATATTAAAAACTATGGAATTAATGGTTGGTATAAAGTTGAATGGTGTTTAGTACCACACCAGGAACGACGTTTGATGATGCTTGAAAGTAATTATCATCTATTCATTAATTTTGGGGGAGACGACAACAATTCTAAACAGAAAAATATAACTCATTACTCACTGCAGTGAGTGACAGAGAGCGCATTTTCTCGTCGACGAAAACGTGAAGTTATGGACGGACAGACGGACGGACGGACGGACATGGCGAGCACAATAATGCATTTTTTTCATAAATAAGAAAATGCGCTAAAAAGGCAACGTTATTGGAAAATGAGCGTATAAAAGTTACAATTTTAACGTACAAATTATTGAAAATTAACTGGGCGACTTTAGATGTTTTCATCAAATAAATGTGCCTGTGTTGGTTGTTCCTTTATTGCTGTAGAATTTTACTATCAATAAAAAGATTTTCAAAAGGTTGAATTGAAACATGAAAAACATGAAATTCTTTTACGCTCTCAGATGCCGGCGAAATTGAAATTCCTAACTTTAATTAGAAGTTTTTGTCGGACAGTACAGTCTTTTCTACGGTTGGGGCAAATGTGTGAACAGTTGAGACGTAAGTGGGCGCTCTGAGGAGTTCCAGAATGTAATTAGAACCACTGTATAACGATGATCATATGTACGATGGCGTAGTTGGTACACCTAGACTACCGTAAAAACTGCAAAAGTTTGAAAATACGACACCGAGTGTATTCTTAAAATACTTTAGCCTCACATTGATTTATAATGCCTTAACTTAAATTGCAAACTGTACTCTTCTGAGCTCATGCACGAGGAGCTTCGTATAGATATATTTATTACCTCAGATTGGCATATAATAGATTAAATATGAAAGCGTAGTCAGAATTTGGTTGAGATCTAACATAGAAATCATTGTAGGATGAAAGGTGGTATGAAAAATGACAGCTGCAGCACAGCTGGCGTCCCGAAATAAATTTCAAGAGAAGCAAGGAAGCCAGCGACCGAATACTTGTTATGTAGTTGTACTGAATTGTCCAGTTAAGTGCTGTCATTGCAGGAAGTGAAACCCTTTACGTTTGATGGAGTCGTGACAGCGCAACACTACGAAGTTGCTGCAGAACGGGAAGGCAGTTTCTGTGATATTGTTGGCTAGTGAACATTCGAGACCGTGTTAAAAGCGTGCATATAATACACGTAATGTTTAGTATATTTGTATGAAAATTTATGGGGGCAAAGAATGAAAAATCTCTTACAGTTTTACTGATTAT